TCGAGGTAAAAAAAAAAAAACTTCCTACTCGCGGTTAATAAACGCGCGACAATGACTATAGCCACGCCTGAGTAGCCACTACCGAATTATCGGCGAAGAATGTATATGATTGATAACAGACGCGTTAAATAAAGATTGCGTAACGCGATACACGTAGAGCTAATGAAATCAATGCTCGCCTTGATGAAATACCAATGTCAAGATTGCTGGCTACGGAAGATTACAACCAATCGACTGGATTATACCAGATTTTCTATAGCGGATTTTTTCTCGGGGCAAAAATTTCTTATCTAGGTAAAAAGCACGGAACTAGCGAAAGATAAACAATCGTTCCCTGAGGATTATTCCGTGTTTGTTCGAACTCGTAAACCATTAATTCCACGAAAATTTCGCAACTTTCGTTTGTCCAAAGATTTTCCTAAATGAAAATAATGTATACTATGAATACAAAAAAAAAGGAAAAAAAAAACGTAATATATCGCGATGTAGTAATTACATCGTTCTGTCACGATGATTAGCACATATTCGACTTCAGCTATCGCGAAAGCTATCACGCAACCTATGTGGTCACTTTAAATCATTCAAAAACATCTTACAAAATCTCATCGTTGAAAATGACGATTTGTAAACGGTAATTGCGTCTAATCTTATGAGAAATAAGAAATTTCTATCCGTGTAACTTTATATGTATATGTATATGTATATGTAGTTTGTGGTGTGGGAAAAAATGATTCATGCAACCCAATTAGAAATATCAATCTTATGTGTGTACATACGTTCTGAGGACAACCAAACTTCAACCTCTTCGTAGACGGAGGCAATTAACTAATTGCTATTTTCACGAGTTTTGAAAATAAAAATTGAAAAGTTAGGAGTTCGTTGGAAAAATTAAATTTCAGGAAAGAGGTCTGCGTTAGGTCTGAGTTAGGTCTGTACATCTTCGTTAAATCGACTTGAAAAAAATATAAGCTTATAGAGGATGTTTAAACGGAACTTTTTTATATTTACAAGTTATTAACAGGACCTTTAGTTTTGAAAATAAAAATTGAAAAGTTAAGAGTTTGTTGTTGAACAAAAATTGAATTTCAGGAAAATTTTAGACCAAACTTGAAAATCATGAGTATGACTCGCGATGAAAATTTTATGCCAAACTTGAAAACCACGAGTGTGACTCGTAATGAAAATTTTTTACCATTTCCTAATGGATCTTTCTAATATACATAATATCTCTAGATATCTCCCTAGATATCTCTAGACTCTGATATCTCCAGACCTAATAATCTCTATGCTCTTGAAAAACGAAATTTCTATCTAGATAAAAGTAACGAATAATAGGTGAACTGATTGTTTATTGTTAGGTAGAAATTAAGATGTAGAAATTAGGATTTGAAAATTGTATCATGATGTGTATTAATCCAGTAGGACTTTGTATCTTTAACTACAGTTTCGCGCGCGAACGTTTGTGTTACAGGTGGACGCAGGGCCGGCGCAAGGCAGTTTCAACGGGTTCGCCGGAACCCTGGCCTCGAAAATTAAAAGGCACCGGTTTTGATTAATTTTTTACACAATGATGATACCATTACCAGATGCAAGACATTGGTTTAGTAGCGATGCTTCAGTTTAAAGGAGCGACAAAAATCATCAAAGTATTATTATTTAATTTTCATCTTATAAAAAATATGTAATAGCATTTCTAAATAAATAACTCCTCGTAAAATTTAGGAAATTAATTTTAGAAATTAGAATATTTTCCGACCGAAGAATTTTATGCATTTTGTAATTTTTTTACATTATAGTATAAATATATATACTATATACTACATTGTATAATATATATAATATATATATTATAGTATAGTATAGTGTAAATACAATGTGTGCAATTATAATGTACATACAGGGTGTTCCAAACATGTTGGAGATCCTTGAATAGGGTGGTTCGGGGGGTGATTTGAAACAACTTTTTCCTTAGAGAAAATGTTGTCCGAAGCTTCGTTGAGAAAATATTAAGGAAAAACATTGACCAATCAGAGCGCGAGGATGCCGGTGGAGCGCCCGCGGTAGCGTAGGCTACGCGCTAAGTGGTAACACTTCCCGACCAATCAGAGCGCGAGTTCCTCTATATATAATAAATACAGGGTGTCCCAAAAATATTAGAAGTCCTTGAAAAGGGTGATTCGGGGGGTGATTTGAAACAACTTTTTCCTTAGCGAAAATGTTGTCCGAGGCTTCATTGAGGAGATATAAACGGAAAACACTGACCAATCAGAGCGCGAGAATGCCGTTGGAGTGACTAGGCGGCCGCGCTAATACGCTACCGCGGCCGCTCCACCGGAATCCTCGCGCTCTGATTGGTCAGTGTTTTCCGTTAATATCTCCTCAACAAAGCCTCGGACAACATTTTCGCTAAGGAAAAAGTTGTTTCAAATCACCTCCTAAACCACCCTGTTCAAGGACCTCCAAAATTTTTGGGACACCCTGTATGTACATTATAATTGCACATTATGTACATCTTAAGTATGCACCAATGTCATCGTACGACAAAAGTGCACAAAAATTTTCGTTTCGATTACACAATCCCCCGCCTCCGCCACCTCTCCGTTGCCCGTTTGCTAGATTCTCGCACAATCCATAAATTTACCATAAATATTTCAAGTACACCACGCTTTTTCAACCGCCTATTAATAGTATAGTTCGCAACCCTAGCGAAACGATATTTAAATGACGGGCGATAACGTATAAATACGCGCTGACATAATTGGGGGGGAAAAAAATTGCAAATTAAGTATGCAACTGTTGCATATTCACAGACCCGAAATTACAAACCACGATAGAAATATTACGAACGTATATTAGAGTCTCGGATTCGATATTTGTGCGATTCTCAAAGTAAAGGGTTAAAACGTCGAGATATTTCAGCCGTGCGCGGGCGCTATCGAGGTGTCGAAAAAAATAATTCATATTATGCCTAGCTCGAGACCTTGACAGCCCCCCGAAGCACGTGGGATTACGTAAATTGACACTCGTGTAACCAGCCAGTTCCAGTATTCTCCCATTTCTTCCGCGAGCATTTCTCGTCTACCGTCAGAGGCGCAAAAAAATTCATGAATTCTCCGAATCGCGGTACAACAAACGCTCGTCGTACTTTCGCGAATAAAAAAAAAAAAAAAAGAAAAGAAAAGAAAAAAAACCCCGTTCACGCGAGATTTACCCCGGACACCTTGAAATACGCTCATATTGCGATAACGTAAAAATCGAAAACGATGTCGCAAAGGCTACGGTTCTAAAATAGCAACGAATCCCGTGCCAAATGCCTACGAATGTCACCTGTACTGGACGCGTTCTCATTATGCGTTACAGATATACATCTTAATTCGCGGGGGACCAGCCAGAGAGCAAGCCAACGGGCTCGATAATAAATAAAAAAAAAAAAGAAGAAGAAGAAGAAAACAAAAAGAAAAGAAGAAGATCTGTAAACAATCGTTATTTCTCGAGAGACTAACCTTCCGGAACCACCCCCGCCAGGGGTTAGGTTATGAAAATATTTTCAAGGCGACACGTTCGGACCGCGTTAGCGCTGTCGATACCGCTAAACGATCGCGAGGAGTCTCAAGGTTGATTAACATTATTGATTAACATTAGTGGAATCGTCGCCTAGCCCAGGGGAACAATCGAACGTCTCGATTCCTTCTATCGATAGAAAATAAAGTGCTACTCACTGGAAGCGAAGTTCACAGCCGATTCCCCCGTGACTCTCGTGGACACGCACAGCGATGACGAGTGCGATCTGCGGAGCTAACAGTCAATGGTGCACATATTCGTCGAGAACGCCGGCACGCATTTCACTGATTCGCGTGAGTGGACAGAACGTAGTGGAACCAGTGGAACGATTAGACAACAGGAGCTAATAAGATATCGCGGCGACACCTCCTTCGAAGCCTGACTCCGCCAGAGGGCGAACAAACGCTACAGTGGATTCGCGTTCCCGTCTACTTTACCGACAAACGGTAAATTCGCGCGCACAGAACGTAATATAACGTAATGACGTGATATAACGACGAAATATAATGATACGCAAATTTCTTATAGGGAGGGAGATGTTTGAATGGGTTTCGACAGTTTGTAACCTAAATGGTTTCTTTTCTATGTTTTCTTTGTAGAAAAAGGTGAATTTCAGAGGTTCTATTACACGAATGTGGGCAGGGCCGATTTTAGCAATATCGGCGCCCCGGGCAAGATTATCTCGGCGCCCCTTCAGAGGTATATATAGGGCGTCCCAACAATGTTGGAGGTCCTTGGAAGAGGTGGTTCGGGCAATGATGGGCAAAACCCTAGGCTTCGAATAAATCTGAAGTTTGCCGATATGTTTGTCTCGTTTTCTTCTTTGGAAAATTTTCAAAAGAGGAAACAATACAAATCATCAGCAAACTTCAGATTTATTCGAAGTCTAGAGTTTTACCCATCTCTGGGTTCGGGAGGTGATTTGAAACAACTTTTTCCTTAGCGAAAATGTTGTACGAGACGTCGTTGAGGAGATATTAAGCGTAAACCCCGACCAATCAGAGTGCGCGGCGGTCGAGCTCCCGACCAATCAGAGCGTGAGTATGCCAATGGAGCGCCCGCGATAGCATAGGGTATACGTGCTAGACGGCCGGGCTCTACCGGCACACTCGCGCTCTGATTGGCCGGGAATCGCAGCCGCCTCACGCTCTGATTGGTCGAGATTTTCCGTTAATATCTCTTCAACGAAGCTTTGGACAAAATTTTCGCTAAGGAAAAAGTTGTTTCAAATCACCTCCCGAACCAACCCTTTCAAGCTATTACAACATTTTTGGGACACCTTGTATCGATATTTTGCAGGGTCACCGAACTGGGGTGCCCGTATTATATCCTAACGCCGGCCCTGAACGTTCTGTTTGGACTCTTGCCAAAATTGGCGGGAAAAAACATGGATGTACATGGATGATGACGCCTTATCATCTAATTATACGCTTTTGACTAAATTTTTCATAAAGATGAGGAAAATTCATTCGAAACAAGACAACGCATCGAGTAATTTCATACCGCAATTAACATTCTAATCTACATACGTTCAACGCGCAACGAATCAAATCAATCTTCATCCTCCGAAATTTTTATCTAGATAAGAATTTCGGAGCATCTTCTTATCAACATTCACGGAATTCGCGCGTGTCGACCTCCATTTCCTGCGAGATATTTTTCCATTCGTAAAGAAGAAAAAAACTGCGAGAATAAATCACAACGTGAATATCTGAAATCGCTTTTCCGATATCGGCCATATTTGTCCAAAAATTAGTCTAAAAAAAACGAACGGCAGTGACGATATACGCGATAGTATCACCGCCTCATATCGATTAATTATTCCGCCTCGAACCTCGAACGACATTCCTCGTCCTTTCTGTCAACCAACTTCTCGACTTTCAGCATCGATCGCAGTCGATCGGTGGCGAAACGCTTATTGTACGAAACGCGTAACAGTCGCAATTCCCCTTTGATATTCTGTTTACGAAGCAGCGCGCGTGTCCCGTCGCGTGTAACGGACCTAACGGGTTAGCCATCGGGTGTTTTCGAACTTATGTCGCTGATATATGCGCCATCGGGAACCGTTCGTCTCGTGATCGCTCGCGGGTGACAGTTCCGTGCCGGTACATCGTTTCGGTTAACCTAGACAGATACTACCAGTCGAGCGTATTATTTCTTTCTTAGAGAGGATGGATTCCCTCGGGGGAGACGGAAGCGGCGACGGGGCGGGTCGAGGCAGAGGTCGTGGACCCTGGATTTCCACCACCCAGGAGCTGCCTGCGCTGAGGAGGCCTCATCATTCTACGTCACCAGGTTCTTAACAATTCCTTTCCAATACTCTTCGATTCTCTGTTTGCGACAAGTCTTGTCTGGATTGTGGCCAGACTTCAAATTCTGCACTGCGATGGACCATTATTCGAATTGGGGGAGAATCGAGTTTATGGAGTTCACGAATTCCCTTAAGTAATACTCTTCGATCCTCAGTTTGCGACAAGTCTTGTCTGGATCGTGGCCAGACCTCAAATTCTGTGCTGCGATGGACCATACACTGGATCTCGATTATACAAATTGGGGAACAATCGAGTTCACGAATTCCCTTAAGTAATACGTATAAATTAATACGATAAGTAGAGGTCTACTTCAGACATACCACATATTGATTTTCAAGCGTGCTATTAGTCTGACGCTGACTTTCGAAAGAGAAGACACAGGAGAACCTTGGTTATTCAAACAAAATGAGCATCAGATATACAAACTTGCAGCCAAGTGTATTATTTTCTAGCTCTCTGTATTGAAGTCTGGAATCCTCTAGTCTCTCCCATGGTTGATCCTAGTATTCACTAGGCCCTCTATACCTGAGCTTAGAAGCTCCAAGTCCTTGTGTAGGTCAAGCTTAGGAGCCTTTAACTCCCCTATATCTCTGCTCAGTATTCTATAGACCCCATAGTAGATGCCTAGTATCTTCTAGACCCCCATAGTTGATTCCTAGTGTCTTCTAGCCTCCTATCCCTGGAGTCCAGTATCCTCTAGCCCCCCATTTCCCAAGTCCTGTACCCTTGAGCCTCCCATTTCCTAATTCCTGTACCCTCGAGTCTTACATTTCCTAATTTCTGTACCCTCGAGTCCTCCATTTCCTAAGTCCTGTACCTTCTACCCTCCTGTTCCATGGTACTTTATATATCTATAAACATCTCTCACCTGTTTCATGTTTCGCAGAGTCCAGAGACACAGAGCAAAGCAAATCAGACACATCCTACGATGATATCCTACAGACATCAAAGTTATCCGTAGATGCAGCTGAATTCATTCCAAAATCGTATCCTGTCAAACAGCCATCGGTGTGTATTTTCCACTCCTAAATGTATATTCCCTTCCGATTATACCTATACTGAAATATCTTTAATATATCCAACGAACAGCATCAACCGCAGCAGCAATCATCCATCAGATACTCTCTGACGAAGCATTCGATCCAAGACAGACTAAAGTTGGCGCGGGAGATACCGCTCCGGACAGTAATGATGCAACGAGTACAAAATTCCGGGTGCAATTACGATGCACCCCAGCACTACCAACAAATAGAACAGGTTCAGTACGAGAATTTCTCGCACCATCAGCAAGAGCAACCCGCGAACGTTCACGATTACGGACACTTCGATGGAGGGTCGGGAGATTACAAAGACAAACATCAGGTGCATATATAAGAGAATATAAGAGAATATTGTTAAAGAATTCAAACTCGCGTTGTTTGCTATTTACTGTTACTTTGAAATTGCAGGACTCCAGCGGAGACGAAGATAGTTATTTAATCGAGCTCGCAAACACCACGCAGAACCTGATGAGCGTTATACACTCTTTGATATTAAATCCAGGCCGATTTACTTCTATCGTCCCGGCACTCATAGATAATCTTAAGCCATACTTACAATTTCCTAGTCACTTTCAAGAAATATTAAAAATTATTATTCAACAGGTATATACAACAGTATACACATAGCGAAGAGGTGCACCGATGACCACAGATCTCTTATAATTAATTTTAAATCGCCATTGACATTTACGTATACAAAACATAAATGTAACAGGCAGTTCCTAGCATCATTTAATGTAATATAAATAATTTTGTGATGTTTTGTAATGTAATTTTGCAATTTTAATTAATCTATGGTCATCGGTACAGTTATGTTCTTCGCTCTCTTTGATGTTTAACCCTTTGCACTCGAGGCATTTTTTTCTGGTATCTATCAGCAACTCAAGATGCTTTATTAGCATTCTATTACCACGAATACTAAGCTTAGATTGAAAATGAAACTTTGAAAATGAGATCTCTAATTTGAGAATTGTGAATCATTTTAGACACATTTGTGACACTTCGAGTTCCAAACAAATTAAAATTAAACAAACATTATTGCTGGTTGATTTGCTGCGTGAAACTTAGTGGTGACCGAGAACCACTTCTTTCGAGTGCAAAGGGTTAATATTAATTCAAATTTAATATTAAAATTCCACAAGTTTCTATGCATTCACGTTCCGGAACACTTTCAGTCCATAAACGAGGGTAACTTCCGCTACAGTGGCGCTCGACTTTGCGCGTCTTTGGACACGAGCGCGTCACCCGCCGAGCAGACAACGTTTAGACAGATTTTATATATTTTGTAAGTGACCGAATGCGATAAAATTACCGAACGCGTCGTCGGGTTTATTTAAGATCTTCAGCTTTCTAAACTCTAAGTCGCCAGGTGTAAAAACGAAACAGAGAGCCAGGCTTCCAACTGGAAGCAGAAGAACGATCATACAGAGGACGAGCAAAAGAAATGTCACGGATTGATATTATTCCTAGCTGAGCTGGTTACTCAAATGGAACACACGTCCGCTTTCGGTTTGGGGGACTTGCTGATTCAACTTATTATTATCACTTTGAAGAAGCCCGCGCCGAATTCCGTTAAGAACATTTGCCAGGCACTCAAGGTATAACAGATCCGCAGTCTATTTATCATACAATTACATCGTGGGTACACTTACAGCCTTGATAAAGAAATTAAATTAAACAATTCCTTTCATATGCAAATAATGACAAAATTATTTGCTAAAATCAGATATTTTCCTTCGACTCCTACTATTATTTTCAATTTTGTACTTTCGCCAGAGTTTATAGATCCGTATTGTAATCATATCCGATATTGTAATCATACAATGAACAAGAAAATCTTTAGTTTTTCTTTAGTACAAATCTTTAGTACAAATTTTATGTACTTCCACGTACAATTCTTTAGTAACAGAAAAAATAATTTCCCCATCGCCAGGCGTCTACTGAAAGACCCTGGAAGTTTCATCAAGATCCACTTTCATTTTAAGATTCATTTTAAAAGAATTCCTGAATAAATGGCTCGTTTTCAGCGTCCCTGAATCTTCCCTTTTTAAATTGAAATTTAACGCATGCCTGTACAGTTGGCAGGTCACACTTTGGAGAAGGACAAGGGAGGGAGTCACAAAGACATGGAGATCATGATGCGAACGCTGACAGAGCTGGTAACAGCGGGCAGAGTAGATTCGCACGTGGGACGTATGGTGAACAGCGTCCATGAATTGAGAAATGGGAACTGGGGGCAAATCTCCACCGCGGACACTTCCGTCGAATCTACGGAACACATAGATCCGAATCAAGCGGTAGACGAGCCTGTGTTTTACGGACCGGATGGCAAAGTGCTGACTGCGGAGGAGAATCAATTTTTAGAAGGCGTTGCATACGTTACAACGAACGTCGACAACCATGTGTACGTGTATTTAATTATTTAGGCGTCAGGAATGTATCGGTTTAAATATTAGCGGTATTTATTTATATTTCTACGGTCTAATGCAGAACGCAAGCATCGCGATGCTCCTTATTTTTGTTTTCTTTCTATTTTTATAAAATAGTTTGTAGTTCAACGCTAGTATTTCTTTGTACGTCTCCAGGAAGTTTATTGGAATCAATGTGATGGCCATTTCTTTGAGGCTTGCGTCATTGTCGAGAAACCTTCGTTAAAAACATTTATTTAAATTACAAGCAAGCCTGGCGTCAACAAAATATGCCTTCTGTTTATTTCTTTACGATTCTCACATTTAAGAATTACCTTTTGTTTTACAACTCTGATAAAAATTGATGCAACAATTTGAAATTTGCCAGAGTAGTCATTTATAATAATAGGAAGTCTTCAAAATTTCTAATTTTTATCTTAATTATTTGCTTGCACAGTTCAGTGAATACGAAGCTACTTTCCCTACTTAAAATATTTTTGCAACGCTATCTTAAATGTTTTAAATATTGAAAACAATCCATATATTTTCCATTTAAACTTTCGAAGGGCTCGTGTTAATGTTAAAGTTAATAGCTTAAATTTTGCAGGATTATTTTCTTATGAGTTGTGCAAGCTATTTAGAGGTTACGTAACAGATTTTAGAAATATGGACCACCCTAAATTGCCTACGAATCAAAGACCGTAGCCAGATAAGGAGTGACAATTTGTCCTAGCATAAATGATATTTCTTTTTTTAATCATACAGTCAGTGTAATAAGTATTCGTACAGGAATCAATTCAAAAAAGCACTTCATACATTTATTTTATTAATAAATTTTAGGGGAAGAGATAATTAACCAACATTCCTACATATTTTTAGAGTAGAATTTGCATAAATTAAAGTTTATTAATTTTAAGTTCAGTCACCACTAGGTTTCCTTTAGGTTTCATTTCTTTGGAATTCAAAGTGTCAATAAAATAATTGTCGAAGGGGTAAGGGTGACCTAATTTTCAAATCTCAAATTAGAAATCTTATCTTCGAAGTATGCTAAACCTAAGCTTAACATTTCTGGGAATAGAATGCTAAGAAAGCATCTCGAGTTGCTGGTAGATACCAGTAAAAAAGGGTTAAAAAAGTATATAGACTAATTTTTGCATTTATGGACTCCGAACAACCTCAAAATGCATAAAAATTTCCTGTCGACAGCGAACAGAAAAGAAGAATGAAATAGAATTTTTATTATCTTCTTTCATCTCTGTTACAGAATATTAGAACATAGTTTCGAGGACGAAAGTAAATGGCTATCGGAGGACGACGACGACATAGACGCGGCGTACGAAGAATTTTTAAAAGAGATTCCGAATCAGCCCAAGAAGCAGCAGGCGCGGGAATAATCGTAACGGCTGCCCTTCATCGTCATCGTAATCGCGTAAAATGCTCAAGATCAGTAACATTCTCATAGTTGGAAGCTATGAGCGTATCCGCTAAAATTTCCGTTCTGAATGTCGATAATGCGCACGAACTATAGACAACCGCAAAATCAAACCCGTACGACGGGACAATTTATTTCAACCACATGTTTATATGAGTGACCTTAGTAAAATTATCTCGAGCTCGAGAGACCTCTGTTTTATCAGTTGTACTATAAAACGAAAAAGGAATCCTTTGAGAAATTCTTAGCGTAACAGAATTAATCTTTGTTTTCGTTTGTTTTTTCTACAGTGTAACGATCTTTTTTTATTCGCAATAACTTTTTTACAATTAGACACGAGCGTTTCGGGGAACGTGCCCGTTCCTAGGACGAAACGATATGAATTTGTCATACGATACGAAATTTACTAATAAGTTATTTAAATTATTATAATAAACCATCAGAATGAATTAGGTGAATGTCGCTGTTATTATTCTCGCGAATCCGCTACGCGCATCGAGTCTAACGTCTCTTTCTTGCAGGTGGTGTAATTCTATTTGTATCGTAAATGTATTACGAACATTTGTTTTGTACGTTGCAGTTGTGTAAACGTGAAGCAAGTTGCCGATCGTTACGGCACCGCGACTATTTCGTCGATGATCGCGTCGATCGTTTCGTCGAGAGATCCATTTTTGGTGCGAAAGGGTTCGCGGAACGATTGTCTGTTGCGGGAGCTGCAGCCGCGACTACTTTTTAGTCGCTGTGTTTTGTCTGGGCAACAACGTTTTAGAAGCTCACGTGCGTCACAATCATTTCGATGGAATTTTAGTCGACGGTATTCTTTGGGTCCCGCTTAATATTCATGAAGTCGTGCATAGGGTGAGTCACCTAAGATTTGTACAATATACATAAGATCTTGTAGGATCTTATAATAGCTTCGTTATTTTTAGTTACATGAAAAGAATCTACGGGACAAAGATGCGCTGTTTGAAGGAGTGTATTTAATGGTGGGAACCATTTCTTTTCTCAAGGTCACTTTAAAGAAATTTCTAGGTCATTGACATTTTTTTTAAAGGGAACAGAGTATTTTTATTGATGCAATATTGTAGCCGATGAAAAGATACATTCAAAGATGTATAATATGGGAGGAGTTGTTTTAGTTACAAAGCTCGTTGATCTTGTAAAGATAACTTCTCTCAAGGTCACAGGAAGGTCAACATATTTACATGTTTGAGGCTATCTTTTTATCAGCTACAAGATTACAATATTGAAAATACCCAATTCCATTTGAAAAAAATATTGGTGATCTTAAAATCTCAGAAAATATGATCCGGAAATAATTGTTTCATCTATCACAATATGCTTCCCTTCGAATCGATTTCCTCTGGAGGCAACTCTTCTTCGTATCATGGACCCTGAATAGCTCAAAATGCATAAAAGTATCCTGTCGATAGCTCCCTTTCAAACAATTTCCTCTGGAGCCAATCTTCTTCTTATCATCCTTAAGCTACAATATAAGCTCCCACAGCTTTGGACCAAAATGTGATGTTTACATTTGTCAACACAGCACGGGCCAGACACGTGGTAATCACTCTTGGCCCACATATCCTACCACGAGTCTCGCACGAGATTAAAAACAATTCTTAAGCGACTCACCTTGTACATTTACAATCCATGCATTATTAAAGTTTCTTTTTATTTAGAAAGATTAATAAGAAGGTATATTTCAGAGGTATTATTTTATTAATGATCATGTAATCCAATAATGGATACGAGAAATATAAAAAGAAAAAGTTAATTTAAATGAACGAGGAAAGGAGTTTAATTATGGGACGAAAATGTTTCTCGCTCGTCTCCAGTGTCGACTGGAATACATTAACCTTGATTCATGCGTTGTAGAACGGACTGGAAACCGTTCTCGTAGCAGATTTTTTCCACGTTCGAGGATACGTAGTTTCCTGGTGTCATTCAAGTCGACGCCGGCAAGTGTAAGCGTAGGCGAGGTCCATCCAAGGATCGTCAGGGGCACGCGTAGGCAAAATCCGAGGTGGGATTGAAGGTCGACGAAGGTGGGGTCTTCCTTGTATTCCGAGTCGAGCCATCGTATCATCTCAAACCTGTTAATCTGCTCGGTCCAGTCGTGGAACGCGTACACGCTCCAGCAGAGGTAAAAGATCTCTTTCCATTCATTTTTTAATACCATCGACACTCCATCTATATCTACATTAACTAACCCTCTGACGATTTTTGCTGAAAATTCCATGGGGCGTAGAGTTGTGAATTTAAAAAAACATATCAGCTTACAGGGAGTGATATAACGGAACTTTTTTGTATTTACAGTTTGTTTATAGGACGTTCAGTTTCATAGATAAAAATTCAAAACTTGGAAGACCTTCTTCCTCCGTAAACAATTAAATTTGGAATGGTGGAAATGGAAGCATCGTTAGTTGACACTTACTTATTTGATGAAAGTTGAAAAAAATGTCACCTTATAGGGTATAAGAACACGAAACTTTTTTGTATTTACAGTTTGTTTATAGGGCGTCTGGTTTCATAGATAAAAATTCAAAACTTAGAACTTTTTCAAAAATTCAATTTTTGCAACGAACTTCTAACTTTTCAATTTTTATTTTCGAAACTACATGTCCTATGAGTAAACCATATAAATAAAAAAGTGTCGTCTCATCATCCCCTATGTGCTGATATTTTTTAAAAATTGATTCTTCCTTCGCAGTCAAAGGGTTAACAATGTTAACATCTATTTATTCAACGAATCGAATAATACAAGATAAACGATCAAAAGTAGCAAGATTACAAATGACAGATTGTTCTTGCAGATCACAAGGAAACATGGACCATTCGCAGGCAGCAGTTCTGCTTCTCCTTTTGTCGCTTGGGTTGGCCAATGGTGGATACTATCGTCCAAGGATCTTAACATCTGGGAATGTTGGTACGCCATTGAATATTTTTGTTCGCTGACCATGGTAGACAGTCTCTAGATTAAATATCTTCTATATAATTTAACTGCATCACTGCATTCCCTTAATTAGTTTCGGAAATAAACATTGAAAAGTTAGAAGTTCGTTGGAAAGATTGAATTTCAGGTCTTCCAAGTTTTCAATGTTTATCTCTGAAACTAAACGTCGTATGAACAAACTGTAAATATAAAAAAGGTTCTTTTAAACATCGTTTCCAGTTGCTAGAAGTGGTTGCGACTCGTACACTTGTGGAGTGAACGCGAGATGTACTATCAGCGAAGGCAGGCCGGTCTGTTCCTGTATGAACCTGCACATGGGCGATCCTCTCTCGCGCTGCGTCCGAGTCGAATGCCAAAGTGAGCACTAGTGAGCACACAAACGCACAAACGCGTCTCTGATAACATCGGTGAAAGCTCGAAGACACCCTGCTTAATTTTCAGTAAACGACGACTGCAGCAACAGCATGGTCTGCACGAACAACAGATGCATAAACCCTTGCGACGGGTTGTGCGGCGTGAACGCGATATGCGAGACCAGGAACCACGTCCCAACTTGTTATTGCCCGCCTGGGTACACGGGAGATCCCTTCACCTCCTGCCGTGTAGCTGATCCTCGTACGTAACGTTAACACGCGTACTTTATACTTTATAATTGGTATGAAGGATTGTTTCATGATACTAGAAACTAAGATGTTTGTAAAGTCTGCGAGAGTAGGCCATTGAAGTTCGGTATTCCTCGCAGAAGCCGCCTGCAAGCCGAATCCCTGCGGGCTGAATACCAAGTGCGAGGTGGTGAACGAGATAACAGTCTGCAGCTGTTTGCCAGGATACTTAGGATCGCCAGCGATCGGATGCCGCCACGAGTGCGAGAGCGACCACGAATGCCCTACTCACCTCGCGTGCTCATCTTCCTTCAGGTGCGAGAGCCCGTGCAAATGCGGCGCCAACGCGGAGTGCAAGGTTCTCAATCATCAAGCTGTTTGTACCTGTCCAAAGGTGAGTTGGTACCCAAGGTAGACAAGACAAGACAGTGTAGGCAAGACAAGACAATATAGACAAGGGAGCGTAGGCAAGACAAGACAGCATTGACAAGGCAGCGTAGGCAAAACAAGACAATCAATCTAGACAAGCCAGCATAGGCAAGGAAATATAACCTAGAGAAGACAATCTAGACAACAGAAGGCACTCTAGACAATGCAACCTAGGCAACTTAGACAGTCCAGTGAAACACACAAGAATAAATGGAACGGAGGAACTCTACAATAATCTAATGTCTGCGCACATATTGCAGAATTGGTTGGGGAATCCTTTCGTGTCCTGCCGGCCGGAGTGCACGGCTCACTCGGACTGTCCAGGGAACAAGCCCGCGTGCATCTACCAGAAATGCACGAACCCTTGCGAGGGAGTGTGCGGCGTGAACGCGGACTGCAACCTGCGAGGCATCACTCCAGTCTGTAGCTGTCCGAGACACATGACTGGGAATCCATTTGTCAGTTGTAGACTCTTCGAAGCGCGTAAGTAGCTGGAATTTATGGAGACAAGATTCTCTGACCCTGTCATCTTCGTCAGGTATCCAAATCATGTCCACGATTACTTAATTTTCTTTACATACTTGAATAGCGTAGAACAATTGTACAATTCTAAACTCAAAAACTGACTGCTCGTTGACTAACTGTATATACATAGAAGCAATTATTATAAGTTATAATATATAAATATAATATATAATATAAAATAGTTAAAATATAAGTTATAATGATTATAATTGATAACAATGGACTCCTTATCCTTAGATGGAAACTTTGCATAGTTACACTCTTGTCTCTTCCCTGTTTTCTTCAGTAGTAGTCGTACAGAAGCTAATTAAATTGATTGACTATCCCCAGGGGACCTGTGCGAGCCTAATCCATGCGGAGTGAACGCGATCTGCACTCCAGGCCACGACAACACGGGAAAGGAGAGGCCCGTGTGCACGTGTCCTACTGGTTACATAGGGAACGCGTTAGCCAGCTGCCAGCGAGGAGAATGCTTCACGGACAGCGAGTGTCCCGATAGCAAAGCGTGCATAGACTTCACCTGCCAGAACCCGTGCACTGGGAAAGAGTGCGGGCCGACCGCGATGTGCACTCCGCGACGACATATAGCGGTGTGCACTTGCCCGGATGGCACGCGAGGAGATGCACTCTACAGCTGCAACTTGGTCGACAGCAGATCCTTCTACGGCTATGGTCGCCATTACCGATATCGTTATTACTAGTTGATATACTAGTTAATTTCATCTGGCCGGATTGGCCTGAAGGTGTAACGAAGATGATTATCTTAACAGAATTTGTATATAATTGAACAAATACATATTTATCTGACCTTGAGGCATTCGAAGGGTCACATCTTTCATCGAGTTTGCGATACTGGCGAATAAGTGATTTTATTCTTGTATGGTTTAATTAATGCTTTAGGATAGAGAAGAAAATTCAATATGTGTATCGAAAGGTGTAAACGTTCTATGTCTCCGAAAAATATTCGTTTCTCAAAGAAATACATTTGACAATAATTTAATATCTCATCGAGATGTACAATTTTTGTTTTAAAATATTTCTTCGGAGGATCACCTTTTTTTCTTATCTTTAGGAATTTTTTTCTCCTAAACAGTAGAAATTACGTTTACATGTTATTTCACGAAAAATGCTTCATATTGAACGAGGAAGTGGGAAATAATTTTTATAGAAAATTTTAGATCTTGATTAAAATGGATTGGGCACCCCCTTGAGAATTCTCGATAAAATAATTTTCCCATTTTTTTTTTAAATTAGGGTTTTATTTTAGAGGTAAACTTACTATATATATTTTTCGTAGGTTTCCTGCATGAGATCTACAAGGAAAGAAAATTTCAATTCTAAATGTTCATTATTAAGAAAGCTAGGAATTTTTGAAAATTATGCAATATTTTACATATGCTTCCGTCAGAATTAATTAACTGTTAAAAGGTTTATTATCTTTGCTTGCTTCGTACAACGATCTAATTAAATATTACAAATATAGGTCGTGAATCTGGCGCGACCAAGTATGATAAGAGAGTATGCTACATTTTGACAGAGAAAGCGAAAAATAATTTTTATAGACTTGACCAAAATCGACCTAACCCCTTAGCGAATTCTTTAATAGATCTTTCTTTCATTTTTAAAAAATCGTGACTTCACTTTAGAGAAAAACTTTCTATATGTTTTTCGTAGAGTTGAGGGAGATTTACAACAAAAAAAAGTTTGAATCCAAAATGTTCATTATTAAAAGAGCTACGAATTTTTAAAGATTATGCAACATTTTTGCTTCAGAATTAATTGTTACAAGGTTTCTCGTAAAGAAATTTTCGACTCGCTTGTCTTATCATCTTGTCTTGTTTCGTACAGAGATCTAATTAAATATTACAAATATAAATCGTGAATCTGGAGCGATCGATATACGATAAGAGATCATGCTCGAAATTAATTTAGAACTTTCGAACTATAACAAACATACTACTTAAAATGTAATCGGCACGTTAATTAACGCGATAAGTTTATTGACATTAGTCTTGTTCAATTTCGATCGGTTTAATCAAAGACTGTATCTGACGCGATATATGTGATAATTTTATTCGTGGTTCAGCGTGTCATTTGTTTCTATATATATATGTACCTAATGTAGAAGAACGTTGCATTTGCTAAATCTTTACTTTATGATCCCATTGTCCCGGTAAAAATAAATCATGAAAGTCCTAAAGTTTTTATCTTCTCGATCTGTATGCACAGGAAGCATTTTTCGAAACAGGTACATAACCTATACGTTATTTATTTATTTATTCAACCCTCCATCTGCAAACAGGAATATTCACGACTATGATTTTTCCACATTCTGGTCTTTAGAGACACATCTTAAAGAATTCGAGGCTATTTTTTAAAATTTATATAATTATTTAATTGTTCATGAAGTGAAATTTGTTAGAGAAACAACCATTTTGCAGATGGAAGATCTATGTATGCACCATCTGAAAGAAATACATTTTTAAGTAATGTCAGAGGAAGAGATACGTCTCCTATCTGATCCATAGGTGGGTCAGACGGGAGCATGGTAACCCATGTACTATGGCTAGTAGATGCTAGTAGACAGTGAATGCGTTAAATCATTAACAACAAGAGCTATAACGTACAATCCATGATTTTAGATCAACCGAACAGACCAATCCAGTAGCTAAATCTACCACAGCTAAGCGAACGACTGTAGATCTCGCAACGATAGAGCATCATTCTAAATTAAGTAGCAAATGGTGGGACACCAACGGCGAAATGCGTGCCTTGCATGCATTGAATCCTCTCAGAGTGCAATTTGTACGAGACGGTTTAGCGAATACAGGAGTAACGGCTGATACTCTGCATCTACCTTTACAAGGGACTAAAATCTTGGATGTTGGTTGCGGAGGGGGATTGTTGGCGGAGCCTCTAGCTAGGATAGGAGCAGAGGTAACTGGAATCGATGCGTCTTCAGAGTTGATATCGACTGCAAAGCAACATGCAACGTTAGACACCAGTTTAGATGGAAGGTTGGATTACATCGAAACGACCATCGAGGATTTTTGTCAGGATAATAAGCAGAAATACAATGCTGTGGTAGCTTCAGAAGTTTTGGAGCACGTTAACGACAAGGAATTATTTCTAAAGGTACATTAGATTCGTGTGGGACAGAGGACAGAGTCTTACGAAAAGATATGGTTTCTCTTATAGTGTTGCGTAGAGACTCTGAAACCTGGTGGTTCGATATTTCTCACAACGTTGAACAAAACGTTGCCTTCTTGGTTCGGAGGCATCATCGCAGCCGAGCATGTTTTAAAATTGCTACCGACAGGCACTCACGATTGGAATAAATTCATAACTCCAGCTGAAATTCAACGGTTACTCGAAACATGTAAAATAATTTTGTATTAATAATAACAATACTACTTCTGCACTCTTCTGCATAGTCACTGTGTTCGGTTCATAGTTTTGTCAGCAGCATAGTTTTTGTCAGTATTGCTGCTTTGTTTAGCTGATAGAATTATTTTTTTGCAGGTGGTTGTAAAACGAAGTTAATTCATGGGATATTCTATAATCCTTTGAAAAACGAATGGTTCTGGGTAACATCGACTGCGATAAATTATGCAATTCATGCAGTCAAGAGAAAAGACGAGCAATAATTTACATTATTTATACGATGATATTAACACTGGAACTCGATTATTTTTATTAAAATTACTTTATAATGGTTGTTTTTTTTATTTTGTAGAAAGTACTGTAATAAATAACGTAAGAAATCTCTATACATATTTGTTTATCGAATTATTTAAAGTGAAGCTGTTTTGTTCCATCCATTGTTATGTTACTATCTATGAGCATTTTTTTGAGAATAAGGTGTACGAAGAAAAAGGATGAAATTTCTGATCGAATAAAAATCCAAAAATGTGTAATGTGAAAAACAATTGTTTATTGCGTTGTTCTTAGAGGAATCCATTTTATGCACTTTACAGTTTTAATATGTATATATGAATTATTTAAGGTGTAGCTGTTTCGTTGCATCCATTGTTATGCTACTATTTATATAGTAGAAGTACCTAGTAGAATTAGGTGTATGAAGACAGAGTACGATGAAATTTCTGCTCGAATAAAAATCCAAAGATGTGTAATGTGAAAAACAATTGTTTATTGCGTTGTTCTTAGAGGAATCCATTTTATATACTTTACAGTTTTAATATATATATGTACACATATGCATACACGTTTTTGTTTAAAGATAAAGCCAGTTACTCTTTTCCTATAAGTATTGTACACGCGAGAGGCAAGTAAATGCTATCTTATCAAACTTAGAAGATATACATAACGTTCAATACGTTAAAGGTAAGATGAACACCACAAAATGATTACGCGTATCCTCTTTGAAAAGGCATTTCTTTTAATCTATTTAGCTACGGCGAAACCGACGCGGTTGTTTCCCATGTCGAATTCGGTGTAGTAACGGCCGATGAAGACGTCTCCCAAGATCCATAGGGGACCGTGAGGTGGAGGAACGTCCATTCCCATGAATCCGCTCAAGCAGACAGTCTTTCCAAATTGCGTAACCTGATGGAGAAAAAGCGTACAATATAAATGAGCTTAGCTTGTTAATTATATGAAATATATACTGGTAATCATAGTTTGCGTAGCGTGATACCTTCAAGACGTAGTCGTCGCCCTTCAATGGGAAAGCGTGACCACCCAACGTAAAGGTAATCGTAGGCAAGTTGGGAATCAAGTTACAGTCGACCTGCGAATATAAAATAAGGGTGAGTTTGTGTACATTTGCACGAGTGTAAACAATTGATATTTATGCATTTACAGGAAATTTGAATGTTCAAGAAATGCACGCAATATGCAAGAATATAAAGAAGATGAAAAGTAAAGTTCATGTTATAACATTTTCAGAATGTATTCTTATAATATATTCTTATTTAGGTTCAATTTTTGCAGGCACGTTCGCAAAGATTTTATTTTGCATAAAGATTGTCTAACAATTATTAATTACCATTGCCTCTCCACCCAGGATCGGAGTAGCTCCGATTTTCTCGTTAATGGCGCGCACTTCGTCGACTGGACCAGCGATCAAAGAGGTGCCTGTGTCTGCGATAGCCTCGCATCCTCCTTTGCAAACCGTGGTGTCACCGACCTGGAGGCTGCAATTTTGTATCAGTTAATGCTTAAACGTGGATTGGAATCGAATATGGAAGTATCGAACGTGTGAGAATAATACCTGTCCATTCTGAATTGCCAATAGCCTTTCTTGTCCACAGGTACGTATGTGAAGTCGCCTTCGTAGTGGTCAGGATCAGAGCCACCCAATATCATCTCTCCACCCGAAGAAGCAGAAGGGTCTCTGTGTTCACATAACAGTGAATTTAAAGTAGGACTTGTTTTTGCAATATCGTGAAATTCACTTATTTTCTAAGACATCTCATCTTCTGAATGAATGAATTAAGGAGAAATCTATACCTATTCAAATAAAAGCTGAACACAGGCTGAGGTACCAATCCTTGCTTGACCATGTTGTAGAAGACCGGCATCACACCGTCTACGGAGATCTGGGAGTAGCCCATTCCCAAGATTCCGTCGAATTTCGCAGCCACGAAGGCTACTCCGGGCTCGCTCAAGGCTTCCGCGAACGTCTGATCAGCGATTTTAATTCCAGCGATCTGCGAACAGTAATTAAACTACAGGCTTTGTTTCCTTTTCGAAGCATGGACGTGATCGCGTTATCCGTAAGCAGGAGGAACACGTCTGCGTGGAGGAGACAAGAGGACTCCGATTACGTGACAAATAAAACGATAAACCCTCGATATCCTTATCTGCGTCGTGACCGAGAAGTAAACTGATCCGAGAAGTCTGGAATATTGTTCAGGCTGAAACGAATACGCGAATGGAGCTTTCTCGATACTAACGCTTAGGGTGTCCGTAGATAAGTAGCCGGAGAGACTGCCGGAGCCGTAATGAATGGCGAAGTCGGTGCCGTTGCGTTTGTAAGTGGACGACTTGGTGTTGTCGTATTTGCGGTGCAACTCTGTGGAGCAAATAATTAAATGTTTATTAATCATGATATTTTATAGCAACAAGGTATGGAGAACAAACAAGAAAATTAAATCAACCAAGGACTGTTCGACAACAACTTCATGACTTCAAATTCTTGCAAAACCACTCTAACTTTTGATGATTAAACCCATAAGTTAAAGACGATACATTATATGCTAATCCCTACATAAACCCATATCTACAAATATATCTACAAATGTATCTATAAATGTGTCTACAAATATCGCAAGGTGGCATGAAACTTTAAACAATATAATTAAAAAGAAAAACAGATCACAGGAATTATCATATACGATTGTGTCGGTGTAATTGAGAATTGTAAATGAATACTAGAATTGCAATTGATAACTGGAATACAATGGGTTATCGAATGGTAAAGTATCTTGAAAGCGAATAATTAGATCGGAGATAGCAGATAGGAGGGTATATCTTGATAAAACATTGAAAATGAGAGGGAGGTATAAAAGATAACGTAGATGGAAGATAGTAGATAGAATGTATAGATGTAGATTCTCAAGCATATATTAATATAATTATATATAACTGTTTGAATCAAATCTGATAAGATAGGTAGAGTACAGGCTTCTTGAAATAAGAAATTTGTATGGTACTTGTTAAAAGAATCGTATGATGTATTGATCTTATAATAGTTAAAAGTAGTCTTTGAATATGCTCACTGCAAGCGATGTTGGTCAGATGGCACTTTTTAGAGGGAACCCAGAGGTTCGAGGAGCCCGTGTCGAAGACTACCCTGAATTCCTGAGGTGGAGTGCCGATATTGATAATGCCGTAATACTGAGCGTCGAGATAGTTGGAAAGGGGCTCGGGAGCTGGTTCGGTTCCCTGGACGAGACGAGTTTGAGTCATTTCTGTATCGAACTCCTTGAACTGTCTCCTGACGCTGTCCATTTTGTGCATCGGAATCCTTGAGACAAAGGAAAAAGTAAGAATACACAAGTTGATAACAAAGTTCGCAAATGCAAATGGAAGACATCGTTAATAGAAAATGTTGACAATAGTCAGTAGATAGCATTGTTTTTGCAACGCATGATAGTTCTGGATAGTATTCAACTCATATTACGACTCTTTGTTCAAGGTATCAAAAGCATTGTTACACGCATACAGGTGCAGTTGACGCTGAATATACAAACACATAACAAAAATAACGTGAAAGTAGATGGAATGTATATAGATAAAGGAAAGAAAAACAGGGATTGAAACGTAATATGAAGATCAAAGTGGAAATGAATAATCATCTTCGTTTAAAGGATGGTATATTTACCTTACAAAATCAGCGTTAGCCAGCGCTAACGCGGCGCAGAGGCACACGAGAACACGAAACATTCTCGCGAACTTTCGATTCTCCTTAAAAAAGGAAGATTGTATATTAAAGATGCCTCCACTGAACGGTTCCCTTCGTACTCGACGGGAATGCAGAACGCTGACTGACAAATTCGAAGTCAAATACCGTTTTATAGTCGGTTTCGTCAGTCGTTGTGACTCGGTGCGCATGCGCAGATCAGGTCAGTGCCGAGTCCTAATCTCTGGCACGGTTCAACAGAGTCAAGATCGAATCGATAGGCAAGATTTGATTTGATTTCATTTAATTTTACTAATAGATAACGCGATAACTAATTAAAACTCATTATGGTACACGATTCGTTTTCTTTGTTTTACACTTATAGAATACAGATAGCATCGGATATTTCAAGATGGAATTAAATTTAAATTTTAATTAGAGATATTAAGGTGTATAGAGTTGTCCAGCTTTTTGTAAAGAATTCTGTAGAGAATTTTCTTGATTTTTTGGATGGATCTATTGGTTATTCGGTTTTAATAATAATTGGAGATAATTGTATTAGATTATTAGAGATGATTAGAGATTGAAATTCGAAGTGGATAAGTCAGGTGTAATTTGAATAAATATGTTAACATAACAGAAATTTATTGGTAGACCTGTTAATACTCTTAATTTGTAGATTTTTTTAATGGAACTATGTATTTTGCTGAATTATCTTTGATTTTTATGAAGGATTATCGAAGATTCATTTTCTATTTGTGTGTGGAGATACCGAGGGAGTAGTATGATTTCATTATGGCGCCATCTTGTAACGTAACTAATTACTTACAAGAAGGCAAGCAGTTGTAATCACAGATTTAGTTGAAACTTAGTACGGTTATAAATCTCGGACGTCTTTTCACGAATATATACAATTATTCAATTTATTATACAAATATAAATATGCAATATATGTACAATTGTAGCTTTAGATATTCAATTGAATATCTAAATGAATTGAGTAGATACTCAACAGTGCTCAAAAGTTCTGTCCGTTTTTAATATAAAATAAAATAATAAATTTCTCATACCTTGAATAAATTATATTGAATGATATCATTTTCATCATTATTGATGACATCTTGTCAAAATAGACAGAATTCGTGGTACAACGTTCCAATAGTTTCTTTTTTAGTTAATTTTTATGAATAATAGTAGGTAAGTCAGAGTTCTAATTCAACGGCCCCGGGGGTGGGGGTGAGAGAGGGGTCCGCAGGGGAAGTCCAAGGTTCCAAGATCCCAAAGTCCCAGGGTCCTAAGATCCCAAGGTCCCAACGTCCCAATCTAGCTTCCCCTCCGCCGCAACCTCTCCCTGTGCCGGTAAGTTAGAACTCACCCGACTTACCTACTAATACTTCCAGAGAAATCGATCTGTACACAACACATGAGTACAATACCTACATACAAAAATTTTCGAATGATTTATCAATATTTACACAAATAAACATAAAAAGAATATCAAATACTCAAGAACATTCGATCTTCAACATTCCAATATCTTCTTCGTCAATTCTTTATTATAAATAATTCCGTATAAATTGCTCTGCAAGCGAAAACATAACCATAAAATCTACATACAGAAATTTTTAATTTATTCGTCGATATTTACACGAATAAATACAAAAAGAATATCAAATACTCAAAAACATTCAATCATCAACATTCCAATACCTTCTTCGTCGATTCTTTATTATAAATAATTCCCGAAAAATCGCGCTCTAAGCGTTCTAAACACGAGCATAAGTTCGCGCGTAGAACGATATTCGATCGATTTCCGAATTCATGTTTACGCGGGTTGCTAGCAGCGATGCATGCCGGGCCGATAGAAGACCCTGATAGAAGACCCTAATCGCGGGCCAATCAGAGGCCAGGATCGCGGTACGGGCACTTCAGTCTTGAACTCGATCGAGCAATAGTCGCTGTCGGCTTGAGCGAACGAAAATTTCTCGTGTTTAAAATCCGTTCCCATAGAATAAAAACAGAAATAAGTACGCGCAATCGTCGCGGTTCAACCTAACGATCGTTTACAACTGTGTCCGCTGGTGAGAGTGTCAATCCCGAAAGGTATGTCGATTGTTATTCCTTTAGAAATGTATTTTTCGTTTTCGACCGGGAACGAGGCGACTTATACGTCAACTTCGGTACGAGTTTTCTCAACGAATTATTTTCAGCAACAAAATTAAAGAAATCCTTCGCAGGCATGTTTTCTTAATTCCGGTACCGATCTCTGAGATCGCGTGCTAGTCGATTATTATTCCCATCGTCGTGTCGTGTCGTGTCGTATCGACAAAACATTATCCTCCCGCGTTTCGTCTCCGTTATCGTCTACGCGCTCGTTTCTTCCTTTATTAACCTGATCGTTTTTATGCACGATTCTATCATGCCGGCACATGACGTCTACGCTACTGTCAAAATTGCGCGCATTCCCAACTCCAGGTTCTCAAAATATTTCAATTTCCACCATTACAATAATTATTCATAGTAATCTCTCTACCGATCCACCAGTGACGGGCAAAACCGTTAGCGAATAACCCTTTGAGTAAATCTGAAGCTTGCCGATGTCTTTCTCTCGTTTCCTTCTTTGGAAAATGTTCAATGGAAGAAACGAGACAAACAACGGGTTGTGCCCATCACTGCGCTCCGCCACTGTGACTAGCTAATAGTAACGTACTATTAGAATTATTGTCATCGACCAGTCAAAAGTACTCACTTTCTCCTGGGGGGGTTTCAGAACTACGAAGATGTCGGACAGGAAAGCCGTGATAAAAAATGCAGACATGTCCGAGGAGATGCAGCAGGACGCTGTGGACTGTGCGACCCAAGCGCTGGAAAAGTATAACATCGAGAAAGTGAGTTCCAGAAACATACCGAGACCTGTTACAGACATCGTGCTTACGAATGCTAATGGTACACGTATCTGTAATAGGTCTGCAATCTGTAATAGATCACTCCTAAAATGTAATAGAAAGGAGTACTGAGCAAATGCGGTTTGTTTCAGGACATCGCAGCCTTTATTAAAAAAGAGTTCGATAAAAAATACAATCCGACGTGGCACTGCATCGTAGGACGTAACTTTGGAAGTTATGTGACGCACGAAACAAGACATTTTATCTATTTCTACCTGGGTCAGGTAGCCATTCTCCTCTTCAAGAGCGGATAAACTGGATTCGTACTCTATGTTTACCATCCTTTCTTCCTCCCTTCATACACGCTACATGGAATACCTTAAATCACATCGCCATCTGTAAGAGAAATTACATTCTGTATACAATGGAAAAACGTTTGTTTTTTAAGCGAGAAATACGCTCCCAGTAAAAGAGTAAAAGTATATACACATTGATGCTATTGACTTGCTGTTTTACTTATCGTTCGGGAGATAAGAGACGACTGTGGAAATTTATGTAGAAAACTGCAAAAAAGGGTAGGGAGCTAAAGTGACCGAACAAAAGCGAAGGGGGAAAAAAAGTAAACCAATTTGACATACAATCTTACATGTTGAAATGTATCGTGTATGCCAGAAAGTTTGTTGTGTTCTTGTTTTATATTAGGTATATAGAAATGATGCGAGGTTGAGTTTCAGTACTGGCGAATTTTAAATTAACGAGGGTTTCACGAGTACGTAATTTTCATAAAAAGAAAATATTCAAACGCGATATATATATATATATTTTTTTTTTTATCGTCTTTACCGATGCTTGCCGAGAATTGTGCTGGAAAGCTCTTTCGAATAGTCGAGAAACGAATTCGAGCAAAGGCCGATGTCGGTTGCCTGCGAGTCATTTATTTTTCGCGCGACTTGTAAATTGTCCCTTCGTTCTGTGATGCTGCGCAACGGATTCGTTAACTCTTTGATTCGTTTGACTTCTGACATTCTTACAAGTTCAAGGATTGGAGGCTAAGGAAAAGGTTAATATTACCGATGCGTCGCGATATCGTGCATTCGAGCGTAATAACTATTTAAAATTAAAATGATGCTAACACACGATGTCGCATAAATATCCGTGATCGAGCCGACGATCATAATTTTGCAGTTTTTTATATTGCACCGAGAGGAACTATTTGCGAACGTATTATATCATAAGGCGATTATACATCCTTAGAGAGAAACATTTATTATTACACTATTATTATTATATTCGTCTTTTGGTTCGTTTCATTCTTTTATTTTTGGAAAAAAACGTTGTACATGTATTCAGCCCATTTAAATTCTCTCCTTTATGTAACATCCACTACCCAATATTACGGTACTTATATATATATGATAAATATAGATTATACATATATATATTATACTATTTATATATAGTGCAATCTTCAAATGATTTTTCATGCAGTATTTGATTATCACGATGTTGCTACATTGTTCAAATTTTAGACTGATTATTAAACATCGTCACAAGTATGACTAGCATGGTTCTTTTATAAGACTTCACAAAACCATTTTTATAACACGATATTGTAAGAGTTGAGGAAAAAGAGTCGCCCGCACCCCGTAACGTGTAATTGTACAACTAGAACAGCAGAACAGAGACGAGAAAGACGGAGAAAAACACACATAAACACACGCACGCATTTTCGATCATGCTCGGGCCGACTTTTACCGGTAAATATTTTTCAGTCGACGTAACTTCGGTCTACTCTCTTTCACCTGTTAACGCACATAAGCGAATAGAAGAATAAAAAGAAACAAATAATGTTGTTCTAGCGGCATCTATTAAAAAATATATTTAAAGAGATAAAAAAAAAAAAAGGAAAACTGACACTGTTTAGGGTTGAGGTTTGTTAAATAGTAAAATTAAGGTTTCAGTATAGTATTATGAAATAAACTATGCTCAGAAAAATCGACACACCGCTGATATATATGAATTCCCGCAAGATTTAAATATATATATTATTGTGTTGTATATCAAAGAATCCGTTCACCTGGAACAAATTCGACTTTTCACATAGATCACGTACCGAGTAAAAACTCTTTCGCGACCGAGCATCTGTGAAAGACCTGCAATTTTATAACGAGAAAATCGTACGTTAAGTTTTGAAGAATATATTGAAAATTGCAGCGAGGCGATATTTAATTGTCCGCTACTGATCTTGTGTCTCAAAAAACAAAAACAAAAAAAAAATGCAAAGTTTCTTTTAATAAAGGTAATGATTATTCTTAAAGGAAAATTTATAATTTAATGCGCTTCTTATTTACCGTGAAGACGTTAGAGTATCCCGATAGCGAGAATTTCTACGATATGAAAAATAAAAATAGTCTGAAGTAATAATTTATGCGTTGTATGAAAATTTAATGTACGATTTATATATATATATATATGCACCCCCTGTTGTTTCTATGACGATTTATTATTAATGCGTTCCGATAAATATTGAAGTGTAGCGCTGAAATTATGGTAAAATCGATACTGATGATATCTAACAATTAGTTGGAAGTTGTGTGTGACCTTTTGAGGCTTCGAAGCTCATATACCACCATGTACTTTGCCTAATTGGCGAATTTGATGGAGAGGTCACGATGGAAACTGCAAATATTTGTCGTTTGCGCGTAGAGCTTGTATACATATACTTTTGAGAGAGGAGGTATCGTTGTCAGGACAACCGATTGTAATAACACACCGACAGTATTTACTTCCATTTTCCTCTGGTTGTTGTTGTCGGTTGTACACTTTGGAGAAAAAGAGGAAATCGAGGCACGATCATGAAGGAAAACATGAAGTTTATCGTTACGGAAGTGAACAAGTTGTTGGGACGTAATTACAACATTATATATTTCAATTCTCTGAGCCCTGAGGAACTCTTGCAAGTAAGCGTCGTTCCATGACAATTTTCTTCTGGTTCAACCGATTTTTAATTCATTGATTGAATGTTAGTTTGTTTATGTGGAGGCTTCTTTTTATTTAGAGTTGTTTATTGCAGGTATTGAGAGAGGTGCTGATCAAGATAGAGGACCAGAGTGACAACGATGCAAAGAATGAGACACCTGAAGAGACTGCCATCAATATTCTCTTCGTTCTTCGGGTACTCAACTATCAACCACAGATGGATCCTGTGAGTTTTAGGTAAACTTTTTTCGGGGTCCTTCAAGTGGAGGATCTACATTGCTTTTACTCCAGCTTAATTTAGTGAATTATTATCAAAATCTAATTAAATGCACTAGTCGAGTCATTGAATATCACTTAAGTCACACATTGTAATTAATTCTTATTTAATTTTATTTCTACTGCTCGCATCCCTTTTACTCGAATTTGATTTGCACTGCCAAGGTCGAATTAAACGCATGAATCGACGAATCAGGACTGATTAGGTAACACACTGCAATTAATTAATCAGTTTAATTTTACTTACGCAGGCAAGGTCTCATTCGAGGTGATCCTGAGACAATTCACCCTATCTTGACCTGGCTCCTGTCCCACGTGGAGACTGTTCGAAAGAGAGCCTATTTATCTCGCTTCCTGGTGAAGGTATATACCTACAGCGAAGAGTATAACTTTATCAATAACCACAGATTTCGTGTAATTAATTTTTTAAATTGTCATTGATACTTAGGTAATGTGATATAAATAATTTTGTAATGCTTTGTAATGTATTTTTGCAATTTTAATTACACAAAATCTGTGGTTACGGGTAAAGCTATGCTTTAACATCTTGAGTTGCTGGCAGATACCAGAAAAAAGTCCTCGAGTGCAAAGAGTTAAAATAAGGACCACCTTAGTAACTATATGCATACCTGTCAAAGTCATTAACGATTCGATTCTCTCCAATCAGGTGGAGGTTCCCGACGAGTATTTGAGCGACCCCGAGGTTTCCTCTTTGTACGAGCAGTACAACGCTTTGATCGATCGCTTCAAAACTGTTCACAAGGAGAGAGAGATAGGGAAGAAGGTAAAAAAAAAGTAATCTCGCATTATCAATGCATCATCGAGTTTCACGTTTGTTGCATTTAGAATTTCGAGAACGCCAGCGAGCTCACCGCTGACCTAAAGACGATGGAGAGAGAAAAGGAGGTGAGGAAAGTACCTATAATGCGACTGGATCGTTTCATTAGTATGTTTATCGCGTCGATATGATTCGCAGGCGGTGACCATACGCATCGATAAGATGAAGGCGAAAGCGGAAGCGGGAATTCATTTGTTAGACGCTGCTAGAGCGCTGCGCGTGGAGAGGGACAAGGAACGCGAACTTGCGCTGCAGGAGGAGCAAGAGAGAGAGCTCGTATCTCGACTACAGGTATGGTAGAATGTAATTAACAATCGTCAGCAGTCGATGAACCTTCCACTTGCAGTAGTAACCGCCATTGTTGTCTATTTATGGAATTATTTTTAATATACAAAGTCTACCATCTGAAGGTCGTATGAGATATGCAAAATATACATGGTCTCATGCAAAGCGAAATATAGGCATGTTCCATTTGTTATCGATAAGCAGGTTTTGTCATAAGAATTATACATAACCAACTTTCAAGTTTGTCGAAGCAGTAAGGAACTGTTATTAATGTAGGTTACAACCCATAACACACAATAGAACATTTATTACACAAACTCTGGATGTCGTTAGATATAATTATAATAAAGTAAATCATGTTGTAGTTAAAGATGAGTGAAACGATCTCTTGAAAAGTTTTAAGGAGGATTTCCTTTGTATCTACAACAAGAACATGTGTAAAAATCATTTGAAAAGCACTCGGGTCAGAAATGAAATGATATAAACATACCTATTCTTTTTATTAACGTAACAGTATCGTAACGTCGCTAATATTTTAGATTTCCCTGGAAAGGCTGGAAAGAGAGCTGGAAATTTTGAAGAGGGACGAGAATGAAGTGACTCCTCAAACTCTGTTGCGACAACTGTCCGAGGTGGTCACTGTTCAGACCATAATTACAAACGAAAAGCAGCCTGCCGAGTTGAACGCCAGGAAGAACCGGATGAAGGCTCTAACTGCGGTGAAGCAGTACTCTTATTTAGGTCCTGAGCAGATAACTATGTTGAGAAACAAGTTGGACACCATCGCCAAGGAGATTCAAGAGCTGGTGGAGCGCAAGGTGAGCATCTCGGTTGTTTTTCTTCTCTGTGATCATACGCTGTGTGTGACCAATTGTATTTGTTTAGATTTCAACCAGCAATATCGACAAAATGGAAACGTTCAGGCAGCAAGCGGCTGCCGTGGCTAATATCAAAAGAAACGTACTGGAACGATTAGAGAAGACGGAGAACTCTCTGCAAGAATTACAGGCGAAACTGGAAGAGAAACGCGAGCTATCGAAAATGGCTGTGGAGGATGCAGCACCGAAAGGGGACGAGTTGAAGAAGTATATTAACCGTTTGAAGACTAGGAGCACGCTTTATAAACACTGCAAGGGCGAGCTCGCGTGGCTCAACGCTGAAAACAGTGTTCTCTATCGCACCACAGCCATCTTGGAGAATCAGGTATAATTTAAACGCAATCTTTTTCATCATACAAGTAGATTTCCGATTTTCATGCATTTGTAAGAAATTTTAATGTACAAGAAATGCACAATGTATGCAATAATATCAGAAAATGTTGAAAGTAAAGTTCGTATTATAATGTTTGAAGAGTAAAATTAATTTCTATTTAGGTTTAACTATTCTAGGTACGGTTATAAAGATTTTATTTTGCATATTATGATGTTCGTAGAGTAAAATGAATTTCCTATTTAGGTTTAACTATCCTAGGTACATATATAAAGATTCGCAGCCTACATACATGAAGTGTACATAAGTAAATTCAAAGATAGAGTCCTGCGAATAGAATGTTTTCTTCTCCGTACTCAAATTGAACAATAATTTCAGCTTGACCAATGCAACCAAACGAAAGAAATATTCGAGACAGCAAAAAGAAACACTTTGGATGACCTGACGAAAGAAAACGCATCCTCAATGAACCTTCGCTTGTCCCAAGACATCTCCGCGCTGCGAGCCAAGCTGATTCCGCTAGTAAATGGTACGAACTTGCCCACGTATCGCGAATAGCGAATACTTTGTCGGCACTTCTATATACAGGGTGTCCCAAAAGTCGGGGAGGAGCCGGAAAGGGGGGGGTAGCTGAGACGATTCTGAACAACAATTTCCTTTGCAAAAATGTCGGATGGGGCTTCGTTAAGGAGATATTAAGAGAAAACCCCGACCAATCAGAGCGCGCGTAGACCGTTGAAGCGACCGCGCTTGTACGCGAACAAGTGACTCGACGTGCATCGAAGGACATTGACGCGGCCGCCTAGACTTTTGCGACACCCTGTATAACGATCACTCGCTTACGTAAAATTAGTCTGTAATCGCGAGCTTCCTGTCGCAATTTGTAATAAATCAATAATACATGTAACGTTTTCAAAGCCAATCTGATTGTATCTTAATCGTCGATTACGTCGAGACTGATACGGACGTCGCGATCAGTATACTTAGTAATTTGAATACGTTACAGAAGTCCACATGCTGCGAGGAAAATCACGGGAGTTCGAGCAGGAGCACGCGAGAGCCGAAAAGGCTCACAGCGATATTGAATCGACCATGAACGCGTCCATCAATAATTTGCAGGCCGATATAGATAGCTTAAAAGCGAAAATTGAAAATGTAACCATATAATCAACTATATAATCATTCTATAGAATTTATTCATTTAATCATTCTATAGAATTTATTCATTTAATCTTTACATAATTTATTAATTTCTCAAGGATATCGAGGAAAAGGAGAAATTGGAGAGGCTCGTAACCAGGATGAGAACTATTGAGGAGAAAATGAAACGTGACGCGGAGGTTCGTGGAATTTATTTATTTATTTATTTATTTAAATAGAATTGTAGAATAATTGGAACGTGTTTGCAGGATCCCACGGTCACGGAGCCTGGTAAAAAAATCAAGGAAGAATTGAACGCCGCTATACGTTCGGAAGAGATGAAAATAAAGAATTTAACGCTGGAAAGAGAAGAATTGAGGGAGACCAGCGGGACACAGGAGAGACAAGCGCAGATGTGGAACGACATTTTGTCGTGAGTACAGAAGCGTGTCCTGTTATCGACCTAAATATTAAAGGATACGATAGAATTTATGTTTCCTCTTTTCTAGGCTCTTCAAGTGCAAAATAAAACATTTGGAAGAAAGCAAGCAATCCAGTGGGATCGTAGTACGTCGAGGCGACGCGGAAACTTTAGTTTTGCAGTAACAAGTAGGAATACAATAACGATATATCTGAAGTAACAAAACTTATTATTATTATATACAAAATACAATTTAAATGTACATAATTTTTCTCTTCTAATTCAGGATTTACAGAATTTTAAATGCCAGCCATAAGCTCACGCAACGTGTGATGTTTATTTATCGTTATCTTTCGCATTACAGTGTTCCACGGCGAATAACATACAAAAATATTACGTTAACAGGTGACTTAATAGACTTGAATTGTCTCCCTGGAAGTTTTTTCTTTTCAAAGGACTAGCGATTTTCTATAACTCTAAGAGTTTAGAACTCTAGAATGTTTAGTATCACATAATCGTCGAACGTTTCCTTTTTAAAATACGTGCACCCTAGATTTCAGTATTATGCTACACACTTCAACATGTGAACTATATCGTTATTATTAAATAATATTAAATATGTCTGTTTACAATATGTGTAACGATAGAGCTGAATAAAATAAGATTCAACGGAATAAAGGCGAGTGTGAATGAAGAAAAGAAAAGAATCTGTTTCTTCGCGCTTTATTGTTTTTTCCAACATTCGTCATTTTTTATCCAGCTCTGGTATTTCGTGCTAATGTATTAGGTTGTCCAAAAAGTTTCTTTCGCTTTATTAATAAGTAATACATGCACAATAGTTTATGTTTTATGTTGCATTACTGAATTGTGCTCCATTACTGTTACAACATGAATATATATATATGAAATCAGATTGTCTATTTATATAAACACGACCACATAAAATAATTGAGTGCAATTCGCGAAAGAAACTTCCGGGACAACGTAATAATTCAGATTATGTTCACGATTCGAAAGATCGATCGAGTGATATGTCTGAGATCCGGTACAGGTGGGCTACGATTACCTACGAAGTCGATCGCTATCGTCGCTAGGTCCCAAAGATACAAAATACACTTCACCGAAAAAAGCTTGGTGTCTCTTTCGGATCGATAGAAAAAATAGTCTCGTTGAGAATATAACGTTACATCTTTTCTCTCGGAATTCAGTGTGCTTTGGTTCGTGCACGTCGCGATATACGATCGATTAAATGCGTCTCTATTATAAGATATAACGTAGGAAAATAATACACCTACTCTAAGTAAACTCGTTCTAGAAGTTGTACGGTATGTTAATAAAATTGTAGACTTCGCAACGTTCAGAGCAACGCTCAGAGCGTCGTCGGACATCTAGAGTTTTCGTAATTTACATAATTGCATCTATACATATTTAACTATCAGCAGGTTCAGCTCTTATCGGAGCTGTCTATCAGGCTATCTTAACTGTAGAAATAGTCTATTCCTTCCTATCATTATTGTACAAAAAGTACGATTTGGTTCGTAACGCTTACTTTTGATCACGTGTTACTTTGACATAAACATCGTTAACTATAAACATTGTAATTACTGAATGCATGAGAAATACTGACATAGTTGCACTGGAATTGTACAAATAAACGTGGGGACACGTGCCAGCGAGGCCATCGCATTTATAAACACCATGAGGTGTGCGATAGTTAAAATGTCGATGATTCCATGATTCCTATGATTACGGAACACCTTAATTACAGTCGCGTCCAAGTAAAAAAAAAAAAGGAGCGAAAACAAATTGTAAAAGTCACGATATCTTTTATAGCGTATCAGTGACTCAAGAGGATAAAAAGTTGCCTAGTGTGGCAGTATCGTGATTCGTGATCCACGTGATCTCTGTTTCTTCATTGTTATACGTCACTCCGATCGAGTGCACTCTAGCTACTTAAAATGACAATTATATTAACAGTAAGGTAAACTGTATGGTCTCCCATTTGTAATGTACAGCTCAAAAGGATTGAATGTAGATCGTATGTGAAAATCATTTCACATAATGTTGGAATCAGAGAAATTTATGCAATTGATACTATGCAAATTAATTATTAGAATAGTTGTTTAAATACTGATATCTATTATATTAGTCGTTTTGAGCGGTGTGAGACAGACCATTCAAATACTATCGGATTGGCCAAAAAGTTCATCGATTAACCTAGACAAGTACCTATTTTAATCTATAACATGTCCATTTTATTCTATCAATCTTTCTCCATCTTCTGAGGCATGCGAAAGAGAAATTCATGATTTAGTAAAAGTCTCATTCGTAGAAGTTGTGAGCACAAAGGTAGTAATAATCACTGCGAAGGCAACCATAGAGACAAACCGAATAAACTTTTCAGCCAACCTAATATTCACAGCCACACAGAAGACTTTCCTCTCAGCCCTTTACTTGATCCGCGTCGTTTCTGTTATTGCTACCGTTATTGTTATTTTTAGAACCCACCGCGCTCAGCGCTATCCCCAATTGCGCCGCGTAATACGTCAGCATTATGGAGACCTGGAAAAGCAATCCCATGAATTAGTGATAAGCTGACTCGGCCGATTTGCGTGCGGCTTTGATCGCTATACCTGCGAGTAAGGCAACGGGGTGTGGAAGTAGTGGAACCCCAGCAAGGTATCAGATATGAGGAAGCATATGCCCCCGATGCAGCTGCATAATTTAGTCCACGTCCACAATTCCTGGTGCAATTATACCAAGATATACAATATACGATATACAAATATATTCTTCATTATTCTGCGTTAATAAGCATTGTACTGTAAGCATTACACTGTGTGACGCAGGAATTATTCTGTATCGGTCTGTATTATTTATACATACAGGGTGTCCCGGGTAACATTTTTCATTATTTTTCAAGTACTTGCATGATGTGATAAAGTTCCTGAATTGGAATTCGAGTCTTACGCAGCAAATCTATCAGCAATAATGTTTCTTTAGGTTTAATTTCATTGGAGCTCGAAGTGTCAATAAAATGACTGTCGTGAGGTAAAGGTGACCTTATTCTCAAATCTAGATAGCTTAGAATTCTATTGCCAGAAATGCTAAGCTCAGGTTGACTTGAAAGATGAGATTTCTAATTTGGGATTTGAGAATCAGACCACTCTAACTCCTTCGACAATTATTGTATTGACACTTTGAGTTCTAATGAAATTAAACTTACACAAATATTATTCCTGGTTGATTCGCTGTGTCAAACCTGGTGGTGATAATCACCTGTCGAGTTACTGCATCACGTTAAGATGTGACTGAGAGACACCCTGTATACACCACATTGTAATCTTGGAAGGTGATTAGAGACCCTACGAGAATTACACAGCTATGTTTTACGATATACCGCGTGTACCTTGTAAAATTGAACTCGTGAGATGGCTCTCCATGCCATCGTGGTCAACAACACAGTGTAAACTGGAACTCCGACAACCAGGATACCATTCAAACCAGGCATCAATGTGTATATGACTGGAACACAATGTTACGTTAGAACAAACTCACCTGATTTTTCCTTTCAGTTCTTTTCTTCAGTCAATTAATGAATTGTTAAGATCCCAATTCAATCAATTAATTTCAATGTTAATGAATTATTGAAAGTTTGCAAGTTTTGTAGAGTAGTATTGGGTGAGTTTATATTTCTGGAAAATTTATAGGGAGTCTTACCTAGCGAGCACATAGCGTACAGAATTGTACCTAACATTATGTTAAGTGGCATAAAACCGAACGCGCTGATGTACATTATCTGCGCGACGGCAAACATGCACATTCCAGGCGTGAAACAACTCGGCCATACTAACAGAGCGTCGCCCATACAACTGAATATCAGTCCCGTCAATATTCTCCTGGAGAAGGTGTATCTGAAAGAAGCAGACGATTTCTTACGAGCATCTGTTTTCGTTAACCATCGAGTTGGATACAGTCTACAATTCAGAAAGGAAATTTTCTACGGGTTAATCTAGATAGACGTTTACATCATGCGTACTTATTAGTAGACTCGGAAGTTAATGCATTTGCGACAAATGAAAGTGTGAGAATGTCCATGAAACTCTGCAGATATATTCGATATCAAGAATAACGATTACGATCCGCAACCTTAACCCTTTGACTACGGGATGATTTTAGGTGAAAATTTTAAAGGACGTAGGGGTGTGAATTTTTTTAAAAAATACCACCTTATAGGGGATGAAAAGACGAAACTTTTTTCTATTTATAGTTTGATCGTAGTACATTCGGTTTTCAAAATAAAAAATTCAAAACTTAGAAGACCTTTTTCTCCTGAATCCTGTTACATTTGCAATGGTGGAACTGAATGTATCGTTAGTTGACAATTATTTATTTGACGGATTTGAAAAAAATACCACCTTATAGGGGATGAAATGACGAAACATTTTTGTAGTTACAGTTTGTTCATAGGACGTTTAGTTTCAGAGATAAAAATTGAAACCTTAGAAGATCCTTTACATGAAATTCAATTTTAACGAACTTCAAACTTTTCAATTTTTATTGTTGAAACTAAACGTCCTGTGAATAAACTATAAAAATAAAAAAGTTTCGTCTCATCATCCTCTATAAGCCGATATTTTTTAAAAATTGATTTAACGAAGATAAACAGACATAACCCAGACCTAACCCAGACCTTTTCTCTGAAATTCATATTCCCCACGAACATCGAGTTTTTAATTTTTATTTTTGAAACTAAGGGTCTTACGAAAAAACTACAAACATAAAAAAGGTTCGTTTCATCGTTCCCTATAAGCTGATATTTTTTAAAAATTGATTCAACGAAGATAAATAGATATAGCCCAGTACTGGACAGTGGAGCAGTGCGTAGCGTCGCCGACTCCTACCCTGAGAACCCGGGTTCGAATCCCGGCCGACCGACCTAGTTTTTTTTCAAGGTTAGGTTAGGGCCGACCAATAAAAATGAGGTATATATAAGTAATGGGAAGTAAATAGGAAAAATAGAGTCGCATAGTAGTGCAAAATGGATTACTATTCAGGCATCAGAATATTATACTGTTGCAGTGCGACTGGTCGAAAAAAAGGGGGCCGGGCAATGGAATCCCCTCTCCCCTCTACTTTGTAGGTGCTTCACCAACTCCTAAGTCAATACTTGCTAACTTCATGAAAGCATAAAAAAGAGTATGTCTCGATATTATATTCCATTACATGGATAGTGTATATCGGTCCTGTAACAAGGGTCAACCGACCACCGATTCTCTGAATCAATTCTTTCGCTTGCCAGACCTTCCATCATTATTCGCGTACAGTTCACTTGTTACTTCGACTATGCTTCCTTCAGCAAATATAAGTAACGAGCCGTTTACCACGAACGGATGATGAATAAGTGACGAGTCGTTTACCACCGACGGGACGACAAATAAGTGACTAGTCGTTCGCTACAAATGCACACTAATGATGGATGACTAATTGCGTAATTGCACGTATTCTGTTCCTTTAATTCCACATATTAGATCCGCACTTGGATCGTTTAGGATAATGGCTCTTTAATTGTTACGTGTCGTAATGTAATTGTGATCCGCGGCAAGATTGCGTGTAACTAATCGTCGAGTTACATCAGGTAACTGTGAGACTTGCTGATATAAAGGTCTCAAGAATTTTCAATCGTAAATAGATATTTTGGTTATAAAGAAAAAGTTTTGTGTGGATATTTTAATATTCGAGAAATGATGTATGAATAGTTGTTGGGAAATGTATGTATGTATGTATGTATGTATGTATGTATGTTTAAATAGTAGTGTGATTTGCTAGTGCAAGGACGTCAAGAATTTTCTATAGAAAATAGATATTTTAATTGTAAAGACTCGTATTATTGATGATTCAATTAATGTTTATAAAATGATGTTTGAATAGACAGAATAGATCGGATTGGATGTTCGAATTCCCTATTACTATATACAGGGTGTCCCAAACCTGTTGGAGGTCCTTGAAAAGGATGATTCGGGGGGTGATTTGAAACAACTTTTTCATTAGCGAAAATGTTGTCCGAGGCTTCGTTGAGGAGATATTAACGGAAAACACTGGCCAATCAGAGCGCGAGGCGGCCACACTCCCCGATCAATCAGAGCGCGAGTATACCGATGGAGCGTAGGCTACGCGCTAGGCGGCCGCGCTGATACGCTACCGCGGCCGCTCCACCGGCATACTCGCGCTCTGATTGGTCGGGGAGCGTGGCCGCCTCGCGCTCTGATTGGTCAGCGTTTTCCGTTAATATCTACTCAACGAAGCCTCGGACAACATTTTCGCTAAGGAAAAAGTTGTTTCAAATCACTCCCCGCACCACCTCTTTCAAGGTGTTAAACATTTTTGGGGCACCCTGTATATGTTATTTATTTTTTAATCCTGCGTTTTGGGGCACGCACAGTGAAATGCGTGGAGTAAGGGTCGTTCAAAATCGTTGGAGGATCGACTATCATGTCGAGTAATTTACTAGAGGATTATAAAAAATCGTTTAATTGCATTGTACACGCTATTTGTTTATCCGAGTGATGTAGCGTCGACCAAAGTACAAATATGTACTATTATTCGAAAATGCGTCAACCGTTTATCGGCATTGAAATAACAGAGTATCGGCGTAAACAAATAAATCATCGATAAAGTCGATCAATTTCTCAAAGTCAATCATTACAATTGCAGTTGACCTCCAACAATCCTGAATAGCCTCTATCTATAGATCTCGCCGTAAATCTTTTAATAAACCACTCGAACCATTAGAAATAAAGAAGCGTATCGTACAGTTAAAGAAGAAAAAAAAAAACAGAACGATCAACGTCAAACTATACCTAACCTCGAAACCAAGAGAGATTTTTCTGCAGTATGATTTCTATTTTAATCTCTTGACTACGGGACTTCAATTCGTTAAATCGATTTTCAAAAAATCATAACTCGCGATTGGATGAACGGATTTCGATGATCGAAACGGGAAACTGCGCGTCTTCGGGTAAAGAATTTTTTTAAAATGTCGAACTATCGGAAAATCCAATTTATTAGTTCATTTTGGCGGAAAAACGAGAAAAAAATTGTTCAATTTTCAAAAATTCGTAGCTCTCTTGATAATGAACATTTTGGATCGAAACTTTTTTTCCTTGTAGATATCGCGGAAACTTACGAAAAATATTTTGAAAATTTTCCTCTAAAGTAAAAACGTAATTTTTTAAAAATGGTAGAGTGATTTTTTTGAGAATTCTCTAGGGGCCCCATTGTCGATTTTGGAAAAATTCTAAAATTGTTTATAAAAATTATTTTTGACTTCCTCGTTCAAAATTCAACATTTTTCGTTAAATAACATGTAGGCGTAACTTCTATCGTTTACGAGAAAAAAATTTAATAAAAATTCAATAAGTCAAAAAAATAAAAATTCAAATATTCGTTTCTCGAAAAATATTCATTTCTCGAAAACATATATTTGACAACAATTTCATATCTCCTCGAGATACACAACTTTTGTTTAAAACATTTTTTCAAAGGATCACTTTTTTTCAAAACAATTTTTCTTTTTTACTTGCGGAATTTTTTTCTCGTAAAAAGTAGAAGTTACGCTTATATGTTATTTAACGAAAAATGTTGCATTTTGACCGAAGAAGCGAAGAATGATTTTTATATACAATTTTGGAAAAATTCCAAAATCGACAGTGGGGCACCTAGAGAATTCTCAAAAAAATCACTCTTCCATTTTTAAAAAATTAGGTTCTTACCTCAGAGAAAAATTTTTTATATCTTTTCTGTAGCGTTCCCTAAAATCTACAACGAAAAAAAGTTACGATCCAAAATATTCATTATTAAATGAACTATGGATTTTTTAATATCATGCAACATTTTACATGTTTTTTTACCCAAAGAAACTAAAAAATAGATAGTTTGATATTTTTTAAAAATTCTTCACTCAAACGGTCGAAGTTTCCCGCTTTGATCATTGAAATCCGTTTATCTGATTGCTAGTTATGTTTTTTTTCATATTGTACATATATATATATATACGCTGTTCGCAGTCAAAAGGTTAATGGCGTACCCACAAATTAAAATGACACGTGCACTTGTTAATTGGTCTAATTATGCGAAAAGTAAAGGCGAGAAATGAAGGGATCGGGCGCATGCAAAATTGTGTCGGACTTACTCCTGCGATAAACTAATTCCGTGTAGAAGAACAAAGACGATAAGACTTATAATTGGCAAACACTTGAAACACGCCGTCAGTAGTGACGGTTGCTCGGCCAGTAATATAAAATACACGGACACGCTTTTAAAGAAGGGGACTAGCTTTGGCCCGACACTTTTTAACTGTAACAGACAAAACGAGAAAATTGGAGTCGAGAGTCAGGTGCTTGTGATGCGGCCAACACTTTCCTCGCCGAGACAACGATATCCTCATTTTTATATAAAAATAAACTTTAGTTTATTAAAGCGATTGGTCACACAGCTGACCTCGACGCTACGCTTGAATTTTAAATTTCAATTTATTAAAGCAATTGGTCACACAACTGACCTCCTCCCTACGCTTCAATTTTAAACTTCAATTTATTAAAGCGATTGGTCACACAACTGACCCTTTCGCTGGGTTTCTATTTCATTCAATAACGTGACATTTCATAGGTAATAATTTTGTATTTCTATCAAGACTGTCTCGGCAAATAAGGTGTTTAAACAGAAAAAAACAATCTTGTTAGGCAAAGGTCAGCGATGGCACTGGTATAGGCGAAATCAATTACTTTAAAAGACACATATCGTTTAGAGTAAATGTTATTTCGTATTATATACATATTAATTTACATACACGCCACAATGAATATCAGAAAGATATCATTCTTTTGTCTGGCTTTTGCTTTATCATCGATACCAATACAGTGACAATAAATTGACTCGCTGTGCATTAATTTTCATTGATAATTTTGCAGGACAAAAGAATGGTAATGCACATGTAAACAAAGCGATTCATTAATTTGGGAAAATTGTATGTCGCTGGGAATACAGAGGAAAAGGAAAGTAAACGAATGCTAGGGATAAGATAAGACAGCATAAATTATAACTGGCGTTATCGTTAGGTGATAGTATATCAATGTTTCTTTTCTGTTTTTGTGGCATCATAACATTGGTGTTTCTGTACAACCCGCAAACAATGCTTAATCCGTCACACAATTATTTCTACATGTTTCGCTTTACAGGCAAATTAATCAGACTGAAATGTGTACACAGAGCCTTTGCGAATACAAGATTAGGTTCGATATTTATGTAGATTATGCATAATTCAAAGACAAGAATGTAAACAAAGCAATGTTTTGATTCTGTGAGAAATATCTCAAGGACTGACTTTATTACTTAAAGAACGGCAATGTCAATGATCATTAGATAATCGAAGCAACTCTGTGAAGACAATGAAGTATTCATCAATTGCAAATTCGATTCGAAATCAGAATTAATGTAATTCCTACTGAAAATTGTTATTCTTAGTAGAAAGTAGTTTTAACTAGATTTTAAGTACAAAAAAAATGGAAAAACGGAACGAACGAACTTTTATTTGCAACCGAACGAACAATACTGCCAACATTAGTTATTAATAGCAAAGAAAAGGGAAGTGTGTCGCACGGACTGATAGCAGTAATTCAAAACAAAGAAAACAGCTGTTCGAAACTGAGCCACGGCGGGCACGTTTGTCCTTCGTTTCGAACGAACGAAAACAAAGAGGCGATCGCTCGAATTATTTTATTCGACGAATAAAGGAAGTAGGAGAGCGCCTAAAGGCGAATAGGAACGAAAACGTGTAAATGGAACAGGGGTAATCGGTGATTGACGCGAGGGAGGCGATCGATGAGAAAAAATATTACTCACCACTTGTGTAGGCGATGACATTGTAAATTAAACTGTAATTTTTGATCGAATTGAGAGACGCACCTACATGCACGATATTTTCGACTGCACTGTCAATTGCTAGATTGCTACACAATTATCGCGAGCAGACTGCTCCCTTGACTTGACGACTGCATTATTTCTCCCCGCAAGAACGACGCCATTTCCCATTGGCCAACCCATCGACGACCACTACCGTCGACCAATGGACGCATAGTACTCTCGTTTTGACGTACAAAGCTTTTCCAAACTTAATTAACCAGCTACTTCTAAATTCTATTTAATAATTCTCTACCCTTTTGATCATTCTTTTCGTATTGTCATTTTTCAATTTGAATTTCGCGCCATATTGCCTAGTCGACCAATGGACGACTCTCGCCTTAACGTACAAAGCTATTCCAAACTTAACCCTTTCAATCAATTTTTAAAGAATATTAGCTTGTAGAGGATGATGAGACGAAACTTTTTTATTTTTATAGTTTATTCACAGGACGTTTAGTTTCAACAATAAAAATTGAAAAGTTTGAAGTTCGTTAAAATTGAATTTCATATAAAGGATCTTCTAAGGTTTCAATTTTTATCTCTGAAACTAAACATCGCATGAATAAATTGTACAGATAAAAAAATTTCGTTTTGTCGTTCTCTACAAGTTGATATTTTTTTTTCAAATTCGATTGTTCGACTGTTGCTTTTTTTTTCTTTAAGACAACAGCAACAGAATCACTACGAGATCTCAGGAAAAAGGTCTTCCAAGTTTTGAATTTTTATCTCTGAAATTAAACGTCCTATGAACAAACTGCGACTACAAAAATGTTTCGTCTTTTCATCCCCTATAAGGTGGTATTTTTTAAAAAAATTCACACCCCTACGTCTTTTAATTCTTTTCGTATTCTCATTTTTCAATTTGAATTTCGCGCCATCTTGCTTAATGGTCACGTTGCTCGCAGTAACTCGTTCGCGATCGATTGCCTGGCTAGACTTTCGACATAAATAATTCGCGAATAAATAATTCTCATTGTTTCGTCGTAAATTAATAATAGAAAAGACGGTAAATACAAAAATAATCGGACGTTCGATAAACTAAAGAGATTGTATCGTAATATAGATCGATGTACACAAGGCGCGAAATTTGCGTGGTTTGAAATTCTTTTATTTTCACGTTGTTCAATTGTTACGTACATCCATATACCGCTTAAAGTTAATAGAATAATACAAATTCGTCATCCTGTAATCGATCCAAAAGAAAGCGTTTCCGGTTTACTTTTTGTTTACCGCGTCCCCTGACATTTTCTTCATCATCACTTCCACGAAATTGTTCCACTTATCTGGCTGGTTCTCCGCGTACCATTCAGCGATTCTATTGAAATTCTCTTTCTGCTTTTCGGTGCACTTCTTGCATTTTGTCGCGACCGCCTCCGGCAAGTGTTCTGAAAGATAGTCGCAGGTCGAATAAATCGTAAAACGTACGTAACAAAAGACGAAAGATTTCGATGGAATGAAATGTCATTTTAAAATTCCTTAAAAGAATGATACCTTTAAAGAATGTCGCGCCAGACGTTATGCACGGTCCCTTGTCTACGAAACAGTTGTAATACTGCTCTCGCAAGCGATCGTTGTTCAAAAGATTGTTGATGTCGATGTCATCGTACTTATCCGGATATAATTCTTCCGCGTATGAACACGCCAGAAAGGTGAGCGTCAGCAGAACAACGTAAGAACGCATGACGGTCGAATTTCAATTTGATCCTCGCAAACAGAATCGATATACTCGCTGCGAATCACTATCTAGAAAACTGAACTCCCATCCGGTTCATTCGACCATTTATATATGTCGCGCTTGGTAAAAATATTACGTAAATTTGCGTGCAAGCACATAGGTGTAAAAAAATGTACCAATAATAATTGATATTAATGGATAACCCATTACCGGTAATGGGATTCATGTTAATGGGATGCCTAGGAATTAAGTGGTACGTTGCACAGATCGTTCTAGTTGTGATCAGGGCCGACGAGATCTTTTCCAGGGCCGGTTCAAAAATTTGGCAGGGCCTGAATTCACATTCAAATCCTGCACTTAAATTTTACAACGAGGAATTATTTATTTACAAATGCTATATAGGGTGTCTCAAAAATGTTGTGACATCTTGAAAGGGGCGGTTGGGGGGGGGTGATTTGAAACAACTTTTTCCATAGCGAAAATGTTGTCCGAGACTTCGTTGAGATATTAACGGAAAACACTGACCAATCAGAGCACGAGGCGGCCGTGCTCCCCGACCAATCAGAGCGCGAGTATGCCGGTGAAGTGCCAGCAGTAGGCGTGGCTACGCGCTAGACGGCCGCGCTCATACGTTATCACGGGCGTTCCATCGGCATACTCGCGTTCTGATTGGTCAGTGTTTTCCGTTAATATCTCCACAACGAAGCCTCGGACAACATTTTCGCTTAGGAAAAAGTTGTTTAAAAATGTCTAAACTGTGTGAGAGAGAAAGGTATAGAATGATATTTGTCCATAGTCTGTGTGAGAGAGAAAGGTATAGAATGATATTTGTCCTCTCTGCGCATGCGTGAAATACATTATGAATGCCATGCACCTATGCGTTATATTACAAATTGCAACTAACCTCTTCTAATCTTTATCAGCCGTCAAAGACAATCAAAGAACCTCCCAGAAACTACGTGCACCGATTAGTGTGATGCTATTACGAAGATACAGATGCGGAATGAATTGCAGATTTAAACTGCTCGCTCGGAATTTCGGAATTTTTCAGGTAACCATGATAACCTCGAAATTATAATAACACGTAACCTTCAGGAATTACTTACGATCGTAAAATAACGTGATCTCTTTTCGTAGCACCAGCCAGCTCTTGGATTCGAACACGTTCCCAAATTGGCAATAGCGAACCATGTCAGATATAAGTCTACTACACCACTCAATACTATTATAATGTTTGTTCCGCAACAAGAGGTCGGTTACCTTTGCAAGCCCTGTAACCTTTCCATTGCTATTTTATCTATTACATCTATTATATCATACAACTTGATTACTTACACGACTTAATATTAACTGAATTATACTATTTTCAGGCATGGATCGTCGAGAGAATGGGAAAGTTTCATAAGATTTTAGATCCAGGGTTAAACATACTTATACCGATCATCGATCAAGTCAAATATGTTCAGAGTCTCAAAGAAATAGCTATAGATATCCCGCAGCAAACCGCAGTTACATCAGGTACGTACATTATTAACAATCTCACATTCAAAATAATTACAATTAGTACTCCTTTCCAAATTCCCACCCACAGATAACGTAACATTGAACATCGATGGAGTGTTGTATCTAAGAATAAACGACCCGTACTTAGCCTCGTACGGTGTGGAGGATCCAGAATTCGCTATAATTCAATTAGCTCAAACAACAATGAGATCGGAATTAGGAAAAATATCTTTGGACAAAGTGTTCAGGGAAAGGGAAGGCCTCAACGTTTGCATCGTCGATAGCATAAATAAAGCGAGCGAAGTTTGGGGTATTACCTGTCTTCGATACGAAATACGTAAGCTAAATCGAATCGAGATTTAAGAAGTCGAGTTTGAGATACGTCACGCAACTAACTTCCTGCATTAGGTGACATTAGATTACCGCAGAGAGTGCAGGAAGCAATGCAGATGCAAGTAGAAGCCGAACGGAAAAAGCGTGCCGCAATTTTAGAGTCCGAAGGTGCCAGGGAAGCAGAAATTAATCTCGCGGAGGGGAAACGTTTGGCACAGATTTTAGCATCGGGTAATTAACTTTTTCTGCATTGATGGATTGCATTTAGTTCATCTGGATTGATTTTACAGAGGCTGCGAAACAGGAAGAAATAAATAAAGCCAGCGGTGCTGCGACTGCCTTGGTAGCTGTTGCAGAGGCACGTGCGAAAAGCTTGAAGCTCGTAGCAGGTGCTCTTAATTTAACAGATGCAAAAAATGCTGCTGCGCTTAGTATAGCAGAGCAGTACGTTCAAGCGTTCAACAAATTGGCGAAGAACAATAATACTTTGATATTACCCAGCAACGTAGCCGATGTGTCTTCCTTGGTGACTCAAGTATGTTACGAAAACGTTGCGTTCCATACTTTGTATACAAAACGTTATTTACTGTTATAAAATGATTTAATACTTGCAGGCGATGACTATTTATAAACAAGTTATGGCACAGCCCAACTTTGACGATAGTCAGATAAAGTCAAACTCGGATACTCCCCTTAGACTCGAAGACTCTGACGAATGCTTCGAGTATTTTAGCGATAAAGAGGAAGCAGAGAAGCACAGAGAAAGTAGAAAGCGGAATCCTAAAATGTTATAAAATATTTATGTATGGAATAATAAATACATTTGAATTTTTCTTATCCTCCTTCGGGTTGTATTTGCATATAAAAAAATAGTTACAAGGGAAAGTAGTTAATTACAGGCTGTCGATAACGAAGTACTTCGATTCTGTGTAACATAGTTACAAGATTCTTATTTTCTTTTCTTCGAGTGTATAGATACTGGTACAGGTACAGGTACAGAATAAGTCTCCTGCGAGATTCGATTGATGTAATACAGAGCGACTATGGAGAACAGGAAGCAGGTTGTAGTCGCGACTCGATGGACCAATCCTGACGCGATCAGACTAACGATCATGGAAAACACAACTGGAATAAGAAAAGAAGTTTGGTAGTTACTTTATTTTTCTTAATTTAAAGCGATAACTCACCTTCTGGAAATAACTTTTGTTGGAAAGATTTCCCGAACAACATAGCTTCCAAGTTTCCCACAGCGGTTAACACGCATATAAACAATAAAGATCCAACATATCCTCCTAATATAGTGTAGAGTTGCGACGATGCCAGCCAACCTTTGTATATTTGCATTCCAGAAAACACGAGGACGGTGAGGATGCATGATAGATAGAACGATACTTGGCTACTAACCGCTGAAAAATTACAGAAGAGACGGAGGCATTCTTTTAATCGATTAAGGGAGGAAATAGGTTTACGAACACATGCTTTTAGTGATCAGCATAAAGAGGAGTAAGAGAGGAGACGAAAGTCTCTACAGAATTCAAATTTCATCCACAGATGATTCTAAAAGTATAGAATGTAGCATTTGTCGTGGTACTTGGTTTCTAAACCATATTCATCACCATATTCATGAATTATATTCAAATTTATTTTCGTCAACAGCTTCACCTCAAAATTAATAAATTCAGTTCCTCGGTAAAAAAAACTGTGACACAATGTTCAACGTGTTAATCGCTGCTCGTGTACAAGATGTAAATTAAAAATAACGACAAAAGTACAACGGTATGGTAACAATAATATCGGTTACGAAATTTGCTATTTTCAATTTTATTTATTATTTTCAGTGCTAATGTGTGGTTAGAGAAACTCTTGTACGTACGCATTTTTACAGGAAAACTGAGGAAAAATTTTGTTATTCTGTTAAAAAGAGTTTGACGACCTCTCAGCTGTTAACAGGTTACTGCAGGTTACCACGGTGGCCGGTGCCGGCAGTGATGGACATTCGTGGGATTTTTCCTGATCATGCGCATTGGAGCGAGCGTTGCAGTCCTCACTGCTATATACACTTACTTAGAATTTAGGGTACCATTGGATCCGAGTAAGGAACAAAATATAATGATCGTGCGCCTACGAGTCGGCAACCGAAACGACGAACAGGCTAGTACAGGTTGCCGCATAACAGGGGCACATCCGCGCCTATGATGATGCAACCTGCCTACAAACTAAATAGTACAGGTTGCCATAAAACAGGGGCATAAGTAAAAGGTAAGTCTCGAGACAAAATAAATAAATTGTGCAATCTCTTCGAGTATTCAATTCTCCTGATACAGAAAGGTAAGATTAGAGACACGATAAAGAATTGTGCAATCTCTACGAGTATTAAGTTCTCCTGGTACAAAAAGGTAAGTTCGAAATAAAATAAATAAATTGTGCCACCTCTTTGCATATTATGTTCTCCTGATACCAGGAGTAAAATTCTGACCAAAATTTTAAACGATAGTGGCGCTATCGGTGACGAAACGTTCAAGCTTGTAGTGAAAATAGTTCCCGCGGCTCCCGCTAGATGGCGCTGGCAACTGCAGGGTCGATAATTATTGCTAAATTAAATAACTATTTATATAGGTGAAGAATCGAGCATATTATCTATCAAACTGTAGTATTATAACGCAAAGAAACTTGTTATTAATGCATTTATGGCAAATAAAGAATTATTTATTAAAGATATAAGTGGCGCCATCGGTGGCGATACGTCTAAGCTTGTAGTGGAAATAGTTCCAACTGCTGCTGCTAGATGGCGCCACTGATGCCATAAATGAAATACAAGGTGTCCCACAAAATGTTGTAACACCTAGAAAGGGGGGTTCGGGAGGTGATTTCAAACAACTTTTTCCTTAGCAAAAATGTTGTACGAGGCTTCGTTAAGGAGATATTAACAGAAAACTTCGACTAATCAGAGCGCGAGGCGACCGCGCTTCTCGACCAATCACAGCGCAAGGCGGCCGCGCTCCTCGACCAATCAAAGCGCGAGTATGCCAATAGAGCGGCCGCTGTATATTTTATTTGCCATAAATGCATTATTAACACGATTCTTTGATTCATAATGCTACTATATATCACTTGATGTCTTAAATTTACCATTTCAATGAATAATTATTCATTTTAGCAATAATTATTTTCCCTCATTTAGTGGCGCCATCTAGCGGCAACAGTGGGAACTATTGCCACTTCTAGGAAAATGCGCGAACGATTTAAATCTCAAATCTTATTTTATACCTCTACAATAAGTAATCTTGCATTATAACAAATTTCTATAAACAAATGCTGTCTTATTAGGGATAGAACTTTACAACACTTTATTATTTATTTCACTAGACTATAATTACACGCAAAAGCTTGTATAGATTCACAATGTAAAAATTTGAATGCATTTATGCAATACAATATATGTAAAACTTCTCAATAAAAAGATCAAAAATATTTTTCTTTAACATTATTATAGGTATTATTTCGTACATTGTCAAGCTCAGAAAATATCCAGTTGTCTTGTAAGATTTGTCCTTTGATCTTTGAAATACATGTTAAAGAACACGTAACTTATAAAAGATATTAAAAATGCAAAAGCATAAAAGAAGCAAGTAAATTATAAGCGCAACCACAATTTTAAGTAACTTCCAACACGCATAGATCAGACAATCTCTGTAGAATAACAGCTGCGACATTAGTTAGAACACCATTACCATCATAGTCATCGTAATATATCAACTCGCACAGATTTCTACACTCCAAATCATCATTTATCAACTCTTTTAATTTGTTATAAAAGTTTTTAGTGATATCCTTGCTGTACTTCTTGTAGACATCCGTCTCCGGATGGGAATGCTTCTGAACTTCGAAGAAAGTTAACAAAGGCGTGGCACCTTCTGCCACCACGTAAACAGGTTTGGAGTACAACTTTCCTCTACGAGGATTAATTTTATATACAGTGTTACGATACACTCGCTCTTTGGTTCCAGCTCGATGGCGTTTCTCTTCCTCCAAGTTCATCGTGCTTTCCATCCATTGGTAGGAAGCTTCCCTTAGGTCCGGTGGTACGTACATCGACGATGGAATCAGAATTAATAGCTTATGAATAGCTACTGTTATCTTGTGATTGTCCTCGAAATTCTCAATTTTCTCAATGAGACCCTTACTTTCTGTGCCGGTTGAAGGAAGAATGAGTCTCAGGTATCCATAATAGTAACTGTATGCCATACCAGTTCCATAGTCTATACCTCGTATGGTATTATTAGAATTTTCATTGTGTCGATTTCTTGAATTAATAATGGAGATGATTATCGACAGTATCTTCGAAACCAACATACATATGAAAACATTAACGATTTGTCCTGTGTCCTTTATTAAATATCCATTTTGGAAGATCGTTAGACCGATTAAGATTATCAAATGTATGCAGAATGCCTTGAACTTGAATCCAATGTCAGTTCCACTTTGCTTAAAGAGATCTAGTAGAATTATCTCAAGCAAGCAAACGGTGTTAAAACAAAATAAAAAAAATATCAACTCCATGTAAAGGCCTAGTGAAATGTTTGCAACAATGTAAATTGTTAAAAGTGATGTTTCATTTGTTATATAATAACTATCCATATCGTTCAGATAATATATATATATTATCAATGTACATTGTAAAAACGTAGTTTATCTGTAACACAATCTCAATAGCTGTTAGATTACAGGTTATGAGTGCAATAAGAATTTCTTATTACAAGAGTTTTCTTTCATTTTTAAAAAATCGGGTTTTCACTTTAAAGAAAAACTTTGTATACGTTTTTGATAGGGTTCCGTGAGAAGAAAAAATGTTTCAATCCTAAATGGATTTTTGAAGATTAATCGACTTCTTCTATTCTTGTTTCGTGTATTTTTTTATGTAACAAAGTTTTAATAAGTAAAAAATGTATTCAAAATTCGATATGCGTCTTCAAACATAAATTCTAATTATCGCGAGGAAGATTAAACGAAAAAAAAAATTCACCCTGAAGGGGAATCGAACGTTAACTAACAGCACACGAGTTTATACGCACTCGGAAATAATAAATACAAAACTTTATTTATTCGAATAATGAAACTTTAATCCTAAATATCGAAAAATGCATCGAGTATTTGTCCTCGTGACGCTATATTTTCGTAATCAGGATGACAAAATCTATAAGTATACAAAATTTTAATGAAATCGGTGACGCAACGGTCTTGCGCTCACTTAGCCGCTATCTGAGCAGCTCAGTGACTAGTGAGCCTTATATACGTTACCAAATTTAAAATGAGCGAATGCATGGGTGGTGCATCACCTGTGGATCGTTTAATTATATCCTTAACACACTAATCCAAAAGGATCAGCTGATTCTCGATACGTGACCCACCAGTTGATTAAAAAATAATTGCTAAAAAATAATTGTTTTTAGCCAGTGGAAGTGAAACACATGTACGACTTAACATTGAATTAAGTTTGTCGCACTTCATAGTTGGACTTAAAAAAATACACTAATTCTATTAAATTCACACTTTATATATCACCTAAGTATATATCATAATTTATTTTTGCTGAGAGGTTATTTTTTGGTTATCCCAGGTAATTAAAATTCCCACAAGTGGTTATTAAAGTTTAAGTATCACAAATAAACCCCACCGTCTTTACCACATACTTTCTTCTATTCGCAGAGAGATCTCTGAAGAATGGAGCACTTTTACTTGCTAATGTACCTTGTTATGGCAGCCCTTTGTGGGGCAGAAGCGTTTTCGATGTTCGGATGGGTCTGGGGCGGAAGCAAAGACGAGTCGACTGCCCTAGTGGCGGATGGTGTGCCACTTATAGCGATTCCATATGATTCCATGACAGAAGACGAGAAGTTCCTTCAAGAAGCAGCAAAATTTACAGAAATCCAAGTGTCATCGCCCTTGGAAACTTGCCAGCACAAAGTAGTCATGAAAATTAGAACTACCTGCTCGCAGATGTCGGAAGAGGATTTGGCTAAGCTGAGCGTCAATCTCTTGAACTGCCAGTCGGCTGTGGAGGGCAGGAAGATGTTCCCGTGTACAGAAGAAATGGTATAATATTCTTTAATGGTATCCTTTAGTAATATCCTTTATATAATTGGAAATTACAAGGTTCCGTAAGTTTCTCACATGTAAACCTGGGCTTTGTTTAAATATTTCTTTCCCTTCGAGTGATTTCTTTAGAATTACTGTTCTTATAGAGTTACTTTCAGAATTGTTAAACATCCTGGAAAGACTAATAACAATACGATAGAATTATCAATGTCAAGAAATTAAAAATATATTAAAGAATTTTTCTGTTTATTTATCTATTATATAATAGAATTATGAATGTCAAGAAATTAAATATATATTAAAGAATTTTATAAAAAATATATATCTACTGACTCATTAATTGTATAAACAATACAAATTTTATTATAAAAATTTTTCCCACAGTTGCATTTGTGACTAAATTCTCGTTTTCTGTATCACTAACATACACAGCTACAGTATATCTGTTTATCATATTTGGAAGGGTGGCTCAGACGTGTTCAGACCTGCAATCTCCCCCCCTGGAGTGCACAGACCACATCTGGGCTCCTTTCAGTTCTAAAATCTCATAACACACAGTGCTTGGTACGAGTGTACATCAAACCGAAAGGTTTCCAGGATTGTGTATCAATTTAATAATTAATTACTAAATTATATACATATATACATTAGAGAATAATGAAAAAAAAATGTTACTCTGGATCTATTTTTGTTACATCTACTTAATATTTAATATTTAATATTTAATATTTTTCGTACATTTTTCTTTTACATTAGTCTCTGAAGCAATGTACAACGGACATGGATGCTGATATGTGGAATGCGTACCATTTAATGAGCAACAGGGCAAGGGCAGTTTGTTATTCGGCTCGGGGTATGCAGTTTCGTGCTCTCACAGAAGTGACCGTTAACAAATTGATGGAAACTGCCCACACGCAGATCAAGAAACTAGGTTCCCTCAAGGTAGAGCCAGAAAATATTCAAATTGTGTTACGTATTCGTGACAGTTTAAATTGTATTACTAATTTACTTCCACTTAAACATTCATTCAGGAGAGTCAAGATCGCCTGGAAGAGCAACAGCAACACCTAAGAGACGCTCAGACATCAGCCCACAATCTCGTGACCTCGAACCTTAGAGAGTTGATCAACGAAAGGGCACTGATCAGAACGGGTCACACTCAACTAGCATCCATGGCGGAGGACATCAGGAAGAAATTAGGTAATCGAGTGAATCTATATAGAAGATCTCAATTGTTTTCATTGATTGGAACTATTTCACAGAGGAGGCAAGTCTGAATCACAGAGAAATACTGGACGACTTGACAAACATCCAAGAGCAAGCCCAACTGATCTGGGACAAAATAGAAGCGAGCACTGATCGGATATTCGCGCAACACGAAGTAGCTCTCGTCCAGTACGAGCATACTTTGGAAAAGCTGGGACGAATTAGCGAGAATATTCAGTTCCTTTGGAACCTAACGAACAACATGCGTGCAGAGGTGGACCAGAAACTAAACTGGATAACGGAGTACATCGGTGACACTGGTATTTATAAAGAATGTGTTATATAAGTAAGAAGTAAGAAGATTGAAATATCGAGGCTGTTTGAATTTCCAGAAGAGCAAATCCACAAGATATACTGCGTAGGCTTGCATGTTGTTTATTTACTCTGCGCTATGGTGATAGCAGCATTTCTCAATGCATCGCTGTTAACCAGAGTCACCATAATGAGTATCGTACCACTGAACTTGGTGTCGTACTTGAAACATGGCATGGATGCTTGCCTGGACTTCGCATCGATGACTGTGTTGATCATTTTGATTACGATAAGTATGTATAGATAGGAAAACCCAAGAAAAAATGGTAACATTGATTTCCTTCGCAGTGCATTTTTTGATGGTTGGAGTGCAGAGGATGTTTGGCCCAAAGACGAGAAACGCGCGACCAGAACCTGTGGAGGTCATCAACCAAAATGGCTACGCAAATGGGAATCCGCAGACTTATGTTTCATCTTCCTACACTAGTAAACAATCACCTCAGACTCCTTCGATGTACAGAAAATTGAAGACAGGAATATGGGAGGTTAGAAACGCAATTTCTCATCAACTGAAACGCTGCATTCGTAAGTTCCTTCTCAAGTGCATTATTAATTTGTTTTATAATTAATTTTCTTTTAGAGAGACTTAAGTAGATTTCCAAGTGGATTGTTAAATTGTTTTCCAATGTTCTTTTAGAGAGCTGCAGTTCATTGATACAATCGGTAGTTCCCTGGAGTCAGCAAACAGTAGAGCAACGGGAAGAACTGTCCTGCTCGTACACGTCGTCCAAGAAGTCTCGAGAGGACCTTGTTTATAATTACCAGCGCGAGTTCCCTAGCATGTCTGATGACGTTACAGACTTTGAGTATTCCCAACTGAAAGAGAGGGACGAAAGCATGGATGACTTTGAAAATATCCTCGACGCGAACGAGTTGAGGCGACGGTTGAGGGGAGTCGAGAGTTCTTACGCTAGAAGCACTCGCAGTTATCGGGCATCTAGTAATAGGAGTGTGGAGTACGTTTTGAGATAATGATACTCGTTTTTTTTTTTTGTAGGGTTCAGTGAGACAATCAGCATTTCATGCACTCACTTCTTAATGTTTCAGTTCCAATATCAGTACATCATCTGTAGCACTGAAATCTCCATGCAGAGGCATAACAAGGAATGGAACAAGGTGTCGTTTCCAAGCTCGAACCGGGAGCCAGTATTGCGTGAAACATTTGAGTCCAAGCGTTGCATCGTCAGTGATGGGCGACTGATATATTTATCAGAAGCTATAATTTGTAGATTAAGGAAACATGTACTTGTAACGTAATTAAATGTAATTAAGCATGCGCTTGATTATATTTAATTTGTTGTGAACTGAAAGTTTTTACGCTATGGTTCTATGGAAAACATATCATTAAGTTGTTACACGGGGAGATTTAGTAAATTAAGTAGTCTTAGTTAATAGAAAGATACCAATTGTACTCGCGAATTTTATTTAATCTTGTAAATACTCTTTCCGTTTTAAAAATGATGACAGTGCCTTAGGAGAAGAGCACGTATAGATAGTATCGGACACCTCCTAATAGAGAATATTTTGTAAACTCCTAATTTATTTATTTCGAATAGGGATAATATACGCCTTTCCGAATGAAAAATGTACATAATGGGATAGTATTTTAATAATAAACGTCTGTAATAATTATCCCTCGACTGAATGTTAACTAAGCGTGCCTTTTAATTATTAGCGTTGGATGTACTTTTAATTTATTTTTGTATACTTGAACATGTCGGGTTAATAAAAGTATCAGAATAATCGGCTGTTTTAATCAATGCTTCGTTCAAAAATCCTCGTGAATATATTAAACGAAAAACTCTAGAAAACGTGAGACTAATTACAAACAGCCATGTTGTACTGCGTGCAAACTGCGTTGCTCGTCAGCTCTAGGAACCTCGGGCTTCCGTTGAAGCCAATGCTGGTCACCAAGTTGCGCAAATTACAGTAGTTCGTGCCATAATCGAATATCCTGAACCACTCGTTCGACACGGATTCACCCTTTGAGGAGAGAAATAATTAAGAAAGTTTCTTACCTCATTAGAGAAGTTAAGAGAAGAGAAGGTGAGAACAATGATTTGATCGCCATACTGTTGCCATGCAGGTTTTGTTGACCTCTTTGAAAGTTATTTGTATGGTTTCCACAGTCTTCATGTTCGGCGCAAGGTGTGAGGCTCTGATTACATTGTTTTCGTCAGGTCTTAGCTCCTTCAGCTGTGGAACGAAAGAGTCTTGAATCGAAGAGAGGTCTGGCTACTTAAATGCAGCATTATTTGAATAGTATTCGAATGCTATTCTATTACTTGAGTATTTAAGTACTTTGTGCACTGGGCAAGATTGTTGTAATGCTTAGGGTAATATGCCTCAGCATATGCAAACCAAAGTAAGTAGCATACAACATAAGCAATGAAATCTCTGAGTCGTGTGGAGTTGCATGGTAGTCATAAGGCCTTACGATACTATTTTGTTATGGATTATACTCTCTTACCGAGTAGAGGCATCTGCTGCCATGTGGACCACAGTTGACGCAGGATGACCAGTCAAGTATTTGCCACCTCAGCTTCTGCATGATCTCCGTGCAAGGTTCTCCAAAGTTCCTGAATATGGCAAGTCCCTTTTTCAAATTTTATTTTAGAGTTCAGATACTGTGCAAAGAAGCTTTGTAACACAATAAACGTAGCAAAAATGTGATAAAATTGGTGAATACATTTACAGTTGATTTCAGAAATTGTGGAAGGATTGTTGCGATAGTTTTTGTGGCGCTGAAGTTCAAAGGGGGAGCACAAAAATAACACACAGGTTCTCATGGACTTGAAAAGCAGAGCCTGTATATTATCCAAGCGGTAACGTCCAGCCAAAAGAAAATATACAGACCCCAGACTAGACAATATTGAGTTTCTTTATGCGGAACAGATTTCTCTCACGTTTTTCCCATGCTTTCCACAGGGCCTGACTTAAGAACAATCACTGCGGCCTATTAGAGCACCACAAAGCTTTTATTTGCAGCAGTAGGAAGATAAATAAACAGAGAAATGTCAAATAAAAGTGTGAGGATTTCATCATAGATTCAAAAGTAGCGAGTGGAAGAATTCTGAATGAAGATATTTCATGTATCGAACACTGTTACATGCTAATATTTCATAGCTGAGCAATAAATATGTTTATATGAGTTTGGAAAGTACCATTTGATAATGCAAGATGCATGCAGCGGATAAGGGAACATGACGTTGACCAGGATAGTGGTGAGAAGTATTGTCAACAATCCACAGGTGCAGAGAGAGATGCATCTACATCTTGGGAATTTGGCACAACCGCTCCTGATTATTATCGTTGTTGAACCTACATAGATTTAATTCTATTTTATAAAGATCGTAGACAGAGATTTGAGTTTGATAGCAAAGCTTATGCTAGTTTCGTAGGGAGATGGTAGAAAATATTGAGTTCACGATTGTTGAAATAAATAGCTTAGGTAATTTAGGGACTTACGTGTGTAAGACTACTATTTCAAGGCTATTAGAGTATTTTTTACTAGTAGACTAATCCTACTCGATTACTGAAGTATGAAAATAAACAAAAACTTGTATCGTATAGGTACATTTTCTTTTTGGAATTTTCTAACACAACAAGATCTCCTAGTTTAAACAATCATCCAGTACAATTGATAACTGATCAAATTAATGGAACAGAATGAAAAGAAACCGTTTTGTTGTTTGGACGTGGAGTCGTTGATCGAGTTTGGGTTCTTCAGGCTGTCGACTTTAGCGTATGGAGGTGGGGGACCCCTCGACATTGACCTGAGCTCCATGCGGTCTCTGTACGGCGGTGTTTCGATCTGTTTAGCGCTTTCCTTTGACCCAGCCATCGTGAATCGGTCAGCTTTCACGCAGGAAAAGAAACAGCTCGATAAGAAACAGCTTCAACAAGAACAAACGACTGTCGTCTATTCTGGTACTTTGTTATTCACTCCTTGCAGATAACGTCAAATGGTAGAGTAGTGCCTCAAGCCTGAATGTTTGACTACTTAATACTATTCAGAAATTCCAGTAATTCAGTAATTTGTCCACGTACCAAGTGTACGATACCAAAGTATTCGAACAGTGGAATATATAAGCCACAAATCAAGTTACGTAAGATAATAAATCTCTTATAAATTTTATTTAACTTACATTCTATCATTTCAGCTCCCAAAATGTGCATCCAGGACTCTGCAGACCTCTTCATAGCCAAATTGCTTTCGAAGGCCTCAACACGAATGGAAAATCACAGTTACGGTGTACTAATCGGTCAGCTTTCATGCAGGAAAAGAAACAGTTTGATACGAAACAGCTTCAACAAGGACAAACGACTGTCGCCTACTCTGGTACTTTGTCATTCACTGAATGGTTGACTATTTAGTACTATTCGCAAAGTCCAGTAATTCAGTAATATGTCCACGTACCAAGTGTAAAATAACCAAGTATTCGAACAGTGGAATACACAAGTCACAAATCAAGTTACGTAAGATAATAAATCTCTTATAAATTTTATTTAACTTACATTCTATCGTATCAGCTCTAAAAATGTGCATTCAGGACATTGGATACCTCTTTGTAGCCAAAGTGCTTTCGAAGGCCTCAACACGAATGGAAAATCTCAGTTACGGTGTACTAACTTTGGAAGGATGAAATATCAAGTATAATTTCCTGACCGCTGACTCTCAAGATAAAGTATTCGTTACAGCTTTTTCTTTAGGGAGTTCCTTGGGATCCATAAAGAAAGAAGTTGGCCAGTAGTATCCAAGTTACGTCTGTCATTGCGGTCCCCTACGCCTTTGATGTTAACTGACACGCGTATAAACTGTATTTCTTCGAATCGAACGCCGTCGGGGTATACCAGTGGCAGTTCCGGCTCGAATTAGTAAATTAGTCGAAAATAGTCGGGCACGAACGTCAACGAAAACGGAATGGGAGGAAGATCACTCGACGTCGAAACGCTGTCGCTACTTTGTGACCCTCCAGAAGCGGCGATCGCTACTCTGGGGATGTTACTTCAGCTTACTTCGTTTTTTCATTTTATCTTTAGTGGATATAATTGTAATAGTCACTACAAATCACTTCATTTCTTCTATCGTTACAGCCCATTCCCTTTAATAAATGAAATTGTAATAGTTACATTAGTTTACTTCATTTCTTCTATCGTTACAGCCCATTCCCTTTAATAAATGAAATTGTAATAGTTACATTAGTTTATTTCATTTCTTCTATCGTTACAGCGTATTCCCTTTAATGAATGAAATTGTGATAGTTACTTCAAGTTACTTCATTTCTTTCTTTTCTCTTCAGTGGATAGAATTATAATAATTTTTGTAAATCACATCATTTCTTGTATTATCATTTGAGATCATCCCTGTGGTTTCTCATTTCTTCCTCACACAATGCAATTGTAAGTTACTTTAGTTTATTTGTTTCTTCTATTAATACAGTGTATTCCCTTTAACGAATGAAATTGTGATAGTTACTTCAAGTTACATCATTTATTCTTTTTCTCTTCAGTCAATGGAATCGTAACTCCCTTTAATCAATGCAATTACAATAGTTTACCTCAAGTCCCTTTATTTCTTCAATTATTACAGTGTAAAAATCAGAATCATCCCTCCATTTCTTCATTTCACCTTCTCTCAATGCACCTGCAACTTCTCAAAAGTGAAGTCTGTAAGTAGAACTTGAATGGATGTAGGGATCAAACAGAAATGAAGTTATTTCAACGCATAAAGCATACGGAGAGTCGGAACGTCTATAAATCTGTGACAAGGTTGTTTGAATAGGAGGAGTGAAATCAACCGGAGAAAAAGAAAAGGAAGTAGCTGGGACGAGTGCATTTATGAGTCGTGTCTTGGTAGATAGTATTCATTAGGGGCACCGTGTATGCGTCAGCGTGTAGTACAAAAAAAAAGACTGACTTGGAAGAAAAAGTATTCTGCCTACGCTCGTGGGAAATCGTTGGTCCAGGTACATTATTGAATTTCTGAAGAAACGAGGTAGCAAATAAAGGAACGAATTTGTAGAAACTATTGTAACTGGGTTGGTGAAGAGAAAATGAAGAAATGAAGAGAAACTGAAGAGATCGTTGATTCTGAACTTCGATAAATGAGATGTAAATACGATATTAATACAAATGAAGAGAAGTAGTTGTTTACTTTCATCTTAACTGCGAAGAATAAGCTCTGCTTTCGAACTTGAGGAGCGAAACGACAGATTTAAAGCGATCTTTAACGAGCCGTGGTTTGAATTATGGCCGATTGTTCGAGGGCGAGACGAGCAGAAGAAAAGATAGGGACTTCTGCGAATGTGGGTCAGTGGGAAGGAATGAATGCAGACAGTGTTTTCCTGTTTATCGATACACAGCACCGTGTACGAGCAAGTGTGGTGGAAATTGAACGTCCTTGATAAGTGCGATTTAGCAAAAACTCTCTCTCGCAAGGTTCTCGCTTCCATTTTTCTTTTTTAAAGGTCTTATTATTGCCGAGCGGCAAATCTTTAGACATTAAAAATTAGATAAATTAGACAGAACTTGTACAATATGGAATTATATGTTGACTCAATTAATGAAATGAAGTAAATATTATAATTGCATTGTGTGAGGAATATATAAAGAATCACAGGGATGATTTTAAATAATAATACAAGAAATTTTGTGATTTACGAAAATTATTAAAATTGTTTATCAACTCATTCCTTACTTCTTCATTTCTTCATTTCTTTATTTTTTCATTTTTTCATTTCTTCATCTCTTCATCTCTTCATCTCTTCATCTCTTAATTTCTTAATTTCTTCAATTCCTTATTTCTTCATTTCTTCATTCCTTCATCTCTTCGTTTCTTCAATTCCTTATTTCTTCATCTCTTCATCTCTTCATCTCTTAATTTCTTAATTTCTTCAATTCCTTATTTCTTCATTTCTTCATTCCTTCATCTCTTCGTTTCTTCAATTCCTTATTTCTTCATCTTTTCATTCCTGATTTCTTTATCTCTTCATTTATTAATGCTTCATCTCTTCATGTCTTCATCTCTTCATCTCTTCATCTCTTCATCTCTTCATCTCTTCATTTCTTCAAATCCTTATTTCTCCATCTCTTCAATTCCTTATGTGTTCATCTCTTCATTCCTGATCTCTTCATTTCTTCATCTCTTCATTTCTTCATTTCTTCATTTCTTCAATTCCTTATTTCTTCATCTCTTCATTCCTG